TAGCAAGCCACTGGTATACCCAAATGGATACGTTGGAGGTCTCGCTGGAGTACTGAGAAGCAGACAATGGTTATCTGGAATTCTCACAATGAGTCAGTGGACGAAAGGTACGCACACTTTGAACAACCATTGGGACAAATGTAGGAACCAAAAGGGATACACTATGATACCGTGACCTTGCAAGGGCGGAACAGCTTTCGTGGCCCAGGCTGCGATCTTTACATCGCGTCTGCGCATGTATTCGCGAATTCGGCTGAGTCACCTACGTGGCGGGGACAGTGGAGCGGACACCATTTGCTTGCCAAGATTCCCGGGTCGAGCTGAACGGGCCTCCCCATGTCAACATAACGGGAGGAAGCGCGCCAGAACACGACTTCCGCATCCGAAGCGAATTGAGCAACGTCGGAATGGAGTCGAAGGGAAGCCCCTTCCCTTTGATCCCTTCCCCGCGGGGAGGTGGGGGCAGGTCCCAGGGGGGTCCCCGGGGGGTCCCGGGGAAATCCAGGGGGGGTCCCGGGGAAGGTCTCCCCACCCAGATACGCTTCCCCCCCACGCGGTCACGGAAGCCCGTAGAAGTCCCCAAGAGTTCTTCACGAGACCCCCACGAGGCCGCCGGCGCCCCAAGACTCCCAAGAAGCCCCAAAATTGCCCCCCAGAGGCCTCCGAGAGCGCTCCCAAACAGCATCCCTGAGGACTCTGCCCCACGTCAGCTTCGTCGTCGCCGCCGCCGCCGCCATCGTCGTCGTCGTCGCCGTCGTCGTCGTTGTCCCCCTTCAAGGTCGGCGGCACCGGCCGTAAGGCCTTCGCAATACGGGAGGAAGCGCGCCGGAACACGACTTCCGGGTCCGGCCCGAACCTCTGCAGGTCGGCCTGACAACGCCGAGGTGCCCCCCGTGCACGAGATAGCAGACTCTGGTGACTTCCTCCGAGTTCCGCCACGTGCTGCGAACACCACGTGTGTGGCCCCCGAGGCGCTGGCGCCCCATCACGCCGTGCGCGTGGCCAACGACACTGCGCCTGCCCCGACCCGCCCACTCGGGCCCAGCGGACCGCGCGCCAGGTCCTGCCAGTAGAAAGCAGAAAATCCACCCCCATAATGAGCACCCCGACAAGCGAAGCCGTTTGGTAAGCGCACCCCAGGAAGGAATCGCACGGGGCAGGGCTGTTCAGAAAACGCCCAATGCCGTTTCGTAAACGCCAACTGTCGGGGTCGGGGTGTTTTTTCCTCCCTTGACTCGGGCCCAACGGGCTGCGCAAGCCGGGTGCTCCAAAGGTCGCGGTCTCGCCATCGCTCGGACGGCCATGTCCCGTGTACTGTTCGGCTCCGTGCGCGCATTTGATCGCAAGAGAACCCAAAAGGCTCCTCTATGGTCCTCGCCGAAAAAAATCAGCCTGGCGAAGGACCCAACCCATATACAGCTGTGGGCATCGCAGTCGTGAGTATCATTTTCGGTGGAGCTCCCTATGGGGCCACGAAACGTGTGAGGGGGGTGTCGACATGGGTGTGGCGGACGCAGGTGGACGGTGCCACTGGAGCCTTGGGTGGAGTTCCCGATGGGGACACGAAACGAGCGAGGGGTGTGCGGAAATGGGTGTGGAGGACGACGCATGCGGACGGTGCCTCTGGGGCCTTCGGTGGAGCTCCCTATGGGGCTACGAAACGTGCGCCGAAATAGGTGTGGCGGACGCATGTGGACGGTGCCACTGGGGCCTTCGGTGGAGCTCCCTACGGGGCCACGAGGCATGCGAGGGGTGTGCCTAAATGGGTGTCGCGGACGCATGCGGACGGTGCCTCTGGGGCCTTTCGGTGGAGCTCCCTATGGGACCACGAGACGTGTGAGGGGGGTGTCGACATGGGTGTGGCGGACGCATGTGGACGGTGCCACTGGGCGGAAATGGGTGTAGAGGACGACGCATGCGGACGGTGCCTCTGGGGCCTCTGGTGGAGCTCCCTATGGGGCCACGAAACATGCGCCGAAATAGGTGTGGCGGACGCATGTGGACGGTGCCACTGGGGCCTTCGGTGGAGTTCCCTATGGGGCCACGAGACGTGTGAGGAGTGTGCCAGAATGGGTGTGGCGGACGCATGCGGACCGTGCCACTGGGGGCTTCGGTGGAGCTCCCTATGTGGCCACGAAACGCGTGAGGGGGGTGCCGACATGTGTGTGGCGGACGCATGTGGACGGTGCCACTGGAGCCTTGGGTGGAGTTCCCGATGGGGACGAAACGAGTGAGGGGTGTGCGGAAATGGGTGTGGGGACGACGCATGCGGACGGTGCCTCTGCGGCCTTCGGTGAACCTCCCTATGTGGCCACGAAGCGTGCGCCGAAATAGGTGTGGCGGACGCATGTGGACGGTGCCACTGGGGCCTTCGATGGAGCTCCTTATGGGGCCACGAGACGTGCGAGGGGTGCGCCTAAATGGGTGTCGCGGGCGCATGAGGACCGGGCCACTGGGGCCTTCGGTGAACTTCCCTATGTGGCCACGAAACGTGTGAGGGGCGTGCCGACATGGGTGTGGCGGACGCATGTGGACGATGCCACTGGGGCCACCCCCGCTCGACAAGTTCCAGACTGGGCGAAGGGTCTTGCATCCTTCGAAAAAGTTGGGGATCGGCTACTTAGTCGGCTTATTCCAAAATTTTCTTGCAAAATGCATGAACATTGCGTAGACTGTGCCGTAGATCTACGGAACATGTTTTACGCACATTTCATGGATCCGACGAGGATATCAATCTTAAAGTGGTTCAATTCCGTCGTCGATCCCCATGTGGACAGTGGCACTGGGGCCTTCGGTGAACCTCCCTTTCGGGCCACGAAACGTGTGAGGGGCGTGCCGAAAAGGGTGTGGCGGACGCATGTGGACGGTGCCCTTGGGGCCTTCGGTGGAGCTCCCCTGTGGGGCCACGAAACGTGCGAGGGGTGTGCCGAAGCGGGTGAGGCCGACGCATGTGGACGGTGGCACTGGGGCCTTGGGTGGAGCACCCGACGGGCCCGCGAAACGTGTGAGGGGTGTGCCGGAATGGGTGGTGGCGGACGCATGCGGACAGTGACACTGGGGCCTTTCGGTGGAGCTCCCCTATGGGGCCATGAAACCTGTGAGGAGGAGGAGGAGGAGGAGGAAGAGGAGCAGGAGGGGGAGGAGGAGGAGGAGGAGGAGGGGGAGGAGGAGGGGGAGGAGGAGGAGGAGGAGGAGGAGGAGGAGGAGTGAGTGAGTGAGGCAACCGCTAAGCGAGTCGTATGATATCTTTAATTACCACCTCTCTCCCCACTCAGAAGGACTCGAAGACGTGCTTCCTGACCTTGAAGTAGTGGAACACAAGGAAAAGCACAAACTTGCCAAGGAGCGAGCGGGGACCGTGCCTTCAAAGCGAGGACCCAACACCGCAGGATGGTTGGGAAGAACACGCCCGACCAATGCCAGCGCGCGGCCGCAGAGGACCGAGGGGGCGGCAGGCCCGCGACGAGAGCGGGCCAAGGCACGTCACCGGGAGACCGCTCGCTCTCGGGTGGTGCTGGTGCTCCGTCTCGCCTGGGCTCGGCGGCGAGCTAAGGGGGGCGAAGCGAGAAGGGGAACGCCCTCTCGGAGGGGCGGCGGGACTTCTCAGAAGCCCTCGGGCCTCCTAAGAAACATGATGTGTCTTCGGGGAGGGCTTCGGAAACTACTCAGGAGGCCGGGGGACTGCCGAGCCTTCCGAGAAGGCCTTTTCCTTCTCACGTCACCCCCAGGCTCGCCTGGTGATTGACGCTTCGGTGGGCCTTTCGCGCGAGAAGGTGACTCTGGGAGGGCTCCAGCGTGCGCCATCGGCAAACACGATTGGACTTTGCAACAGATGTCGTGAGCAACCCCTGCGCGTTGCGCTGCGGCGAGCCCGAATCATTACCGATGGGTCCGACTACTCTGAAGGGGCCCCAGGACACACAAATAAATACACACAAATAAAACGATTCCCCACATTTCCCCCTATTTTTTCTGGGTTTCTGTCTCCCCCCCACTTCCCATATTTTCGCACATTTTCTAGGGAGTCGACGATTAATTGTGTCTGTGTGTTTTTCCCCTCCTGATACTCACTGGTCGGAAAAACTGGGCAGAAGCATGAGGCAGGAAGGCGCTGGAAGAAGATTGGGCTTCCGCCCGCCCACTGAAGAGGAAGAGAAAGGGAAACCATTCGACTCTCAAGTTTGTGGGCGTTGTTTGATTCTGGGTTTCGACGTTTGGCCGAAGGGTGGAGGGAGGGGGGCTCTGGGCCGGGGCAGGTGCTCAGTCGATGTGCTCTTACCAGTCGCGCCGGCAGACCGGGGAGAAGGATCCCGACGAGTCGCCACAGGCAGCCGCCAACAGCAGACAAGATCGGGTCTATGGAGGGGAGGGGAGGAGGGACGGGGGCCCGCGCCGATCGGCGAAACAACAAACAAAAAACCGCAACTTGGAAAGGTACCTGACGTATATTGGAATCTGGGAATTCAACAACACCTACTGTCAACGACGGGTGGGCATGTTCGCCAATGGCCTGCCACCGAGCACGACTGATGTTTGGATGTGTTGTTGAGTCCCACCCTCTACCCGTCGGTCAGAAGAAGTGGGTAGCAACATGAAGGAGGCAGGCGTTGGAAGCAGGTTGGGCTTCCGCCCGCCCCCCGAAGAAGAGGGAAGAGGGGAAACAGCTCGACTCTCTGGAAGCGGGCACGCGCCTAAGGCAGATCAGGAGCTGGGCGTCCGGACATACCTACCTTCAACGGCCGACGGGCATCGATGAGTCCGGGCACTGCTCGCCGATGGCCTGCGGCGGGTTCGTGTCGTGCCAGCTTCGGCGCTGGTTTCTGACACCGCGGGGATCGTTCAACTTTGAACGATCAGCCATTTCCGCAGCGTCCGATCGTTCAACCTCGACTGGTTCTGGCTCGCTGGCGGCGTTCGACGTTGAACGCCGTCGCCGGGGTCGCCGCCGGTCGGCACGACGCGAACCGACCGCACCACGAGGCTGGGGTGGGCGGCGGCGCCTCGAATTCGGGCCCGCGGCCGCGAAGCACACCGCGCCCAGCAGGAACGGCACCCCGGTCTGGGGGTCTGCGCGGGCGCCACGGCCCCGCCGTCATCGTCGCCGCCCTGGCCGTCGTCGTGGCCGTCGTCGCCGGTCGTCGCAGCTGTCGTCGTCGTCGTCGTCGTCGTCGTCGTCGTCGTCGTCGTCGTCGTCGTCGTCCTCGCCCTCCCCCAGGCTTCACCCCACCCGAGCCCTCACCATCATCAGCCTCATCCTCCTCCTCAGCCTCCTCCTCCTCCTCCTCCTCCTCCTCCTCCTCCTCCTCCTCCTCCTCCTCCTACTGGTTCCTGGTTTCTGATGGTTGGAAAAGATGTTGTTCGTAGTAGCCTCCTCCTCCTCCTCCTCCTCCTCCTCCTCCTCCTCCTCCTCCTCCTCCTCCTCCCTCATCCACGTGGTCCTCCTTCGGAATGCCGACCGCGGGAGAGATCCACCTCCACCGCCTCCTCCTCCTCCTCAGCATCATCACCAAAACCACGAGCAGCAGCAGCAGCAGCAGCAGCAGCATCATCATCATCATCATCATCATCATCATCATCATCATCATCATCATCATCATCATCATCAGCACCACCGACACCACCACCACCACCATGAACACAATCATCATCACCACCACCATCACCACCACCATCACCATCACCTTATTCTGAATCATCATCATGGGCAGCAGCAGCATCATCATCGTCATCAGCATCACCATCATTCGCATCATCAGACTCAATATTAGCATCGTCGGAATCAGAATCAGAATCAGAATCAGAATCAGAATCATCATCATCATCATCATCATCATCATCATCATCAGCGGCATCATCATCACCACCAGCAGCAGCCGCCTCATCATCAGCATCATCAACAGAATCATCATCAGCATCATCATCAGCATCATCAGCATCATTAACATCATCATCATCATCATCAACGGCATCATCATTATCAGCATCACCATCATCATCAACATCTTAAGCACCACAAGCAGCAGCATCATCAGCACCACCGACACCACCACCACCACCTTCAACACAATCATCATCACCACCACTATCACCATCAGCTTCTTCTTCTTCTTAATCATCATAATGGGCAGCAGCATCATCATCATCATCATCGTCATCAACATCACCATCATCAACATCATCAGTATCAGTATCAGCATCGCCGGAATCAGCATCATCATCACCAGCATCACCAACATCATTATCACCATCATCAGCATCATCAGCATCAACAGCATCATCATCATCATACTTAGCATCATCATCATCAACGGCATCATCGTCATCATTATCATCATCAGCATCATCATCATCAGCATCATCATCAGCATCATCATCATCATCTTCATCATCATCATAAGTATCGTCATCATGAGCTTCAGCATCAGCATCATCAGCATCACCATCGGCATCATCATCGTCACCATCACCACCACCACCATCACCATCATCACCATTACCATTACCATCACCATCACCATCACCATCACCACCATCATCATAATCATCATCATAATAATCATCAGCATCATCAGCATCATCAAGCTCGTACAAGGGGTCAGGTGTGCCCAAGGCGACGACGCTCCCCGCTCATGGTGCTCCCCGTTCTTCCACTCCCTTCCCACTTCCCTCTCCGTCTGCCTCGCCTGCACAACAGGAGAGCCCAGAATCGAATCGATAAGTCGGATCGGCGATTGAAATGAATCGCATCGGCGTAAGTCAGCAGCCGAGTCGGGAGAAGTCGGATCAGCGGGAATCGGCCGGCTAGTACGGCCGCCATCGCGAAATTTGAACCCAGAGCTCGGTACTGCAGGTGGCCGACAACCGGACGCTCGGGCGGCAGCCGAGCGACCCCCGAGCCGCGCGGGCTGGCCAAAAGCCCGACGCGCGTGAAGCCCGGGCTGAGGCAGAGGCGCAAGAGGCCATGAGGATGATACGGTCCAAGGGTTCCAGGACGTCCAGGACTTCCCGGACCCCCTGGTGTTCCACACGGGCGGTGGAAACGAGGGCCGCTGGATATGCTGGGGGTCCTGGAACGCATCCTGAGCCAATCTCATCATGAGATTAATCCCGTCCTGTGGAGGCCCCCTGGTCCCCCGCGAGGATCGGGCCGGGCGAAAGGGGGGGGGATAGCCAAGGGGGAATTTGAGAATCGGCTCACGCAGCTGATTCTCCAGGCGCCTCCCGGCACTGGGAGGCGCCCATGCATCGAGGCATGGGCCCGGCGGCGGGGCTGAAACCAGCTGCACACAGCAAATTTCGCAACCCCCCCTTTACCAATCCCCGACCGAGAGGAGAGAGGAGCAAGGCTGAGAGAGAACGGACCAGGGTGGAGGAGAGGAGAAGGAGGAGGAGGAGGAGGAGGAGGAGGAGGAGGAGGAGGAGGAGGAGGAGGAGGAGGAGGAGGAGGAGGAAGGAGGAGGAGGAGGAGGAGGAGGAGGGAGGGAGGGAGGGAGGAGGAGGAGGAGGGAGGCCCGAGAGGAGAACGGGCCAGGGTGGAGGAAGGCTGACATCGGAGAGGGCCCTCGTCGCCTCCCCACAGGCGGCCACTGCCGGGCTACTGGGGCCGTCGCAGCCCTGGCGCGTCGCGCGCAGGTGGCCAACCAGAGCAGCGCGCGCTCCCACTTTGCGCAGGTGGCTCCCACTTGCAGTCGTCATGTAAAGCGTGTTTTTTCTTGGTCGGCATATAGCCAAATGTCAGGGCAGGTCTGCCCGCTGATTGGCTGGCTACGAATGTCAACACTGTGCGTAGTGTTGACGGACTAATAGTTTTGTCTGGTATTTCCGTCCCAGTAGCATATCGTATACAACAATCGTTCATGTGAAAAATACCGCCCCACCCCCAACATCCCACGGTTGCCGCCTTTACACGACTGCACCCCTCTGAGATCGTAGAACGCCATCGGCTCGATCGCACTACTCCTCGACCCTTCGGTCCAGCGCCTCCTCGCAACTCCAGGCTCATCAAATCTCGTAGACGAGCGCCTCCCGTGTACAGCTGCATCGTACGTACCACTGCCCTGATCCTGGAAGCAGCGTTCAATGCGTGCGCAGTGGGCCGACCACGTGCGCGCGCCCTTGCCATGGGGGCGCGGCGATCAGCTCAGACAGAACAAAGGGGAGAGAGCGGATAGAGAGAGCGGATAGAGAGAGCTTGGAAAAAGGAATGGAAAACAAAGATCGAAAAAAGGAGAGAGCGAGAGAGAGAGAGAGGAGAAAGAAAGAGAGAGAGAGAGAGAGGAAAAAAAACGAAACAAAAAGAGAGAGATATAGAGAAAATAAAAGAGAGAGAGAGAGAGAGCAAGGGAGAAAGCGAGAAATAGAGAGATGGAGAATAAATAAAGAATGGCAACGAGACCATTGACAGTGAACCCAGGATGCGGCATACCTGCGCAGGGGAGTTAGAGAGATCAGAGTGAGGGGGCCGAAGGTCATTCACTGTCCCTGGGTGCGTGGCTGAAGTGGAATTCCGCGGTGCGGATTCTCGTTGTTGTTGTTTGTTGTTGTTGTTGTTGTTGTTGTTGTTGGTGGTGTTGTTGTTGTTGTTGCTGTTGATGTTGTTGTTGTTGTTGTTGTTGGTGCTGCTGTTGTTGTTGTTGTTGTTGATGTTGTTGATGTTGTTGTTGTTTGTTGTTGTTTGTTGTCGTCGTCCCACCCGCAACCCGCCCCGCGACCCACCCGCGACCCAACCCGCGACCCACCTCGCGACCCACCCGCGACCCACCCGCGACCCACCCGCGACCCACCCCGCGACCCACCCCGCGACCCACCCCGCGACCCACCCCGCGACCCACTCCGCGACCCGCCCGCGGCCCACCCCGCGACCCACCCGCGACCCACCCGCGACCCACCCGCGACCTACCCCGCGACCCACCCGCGACCCACCTCGACCCAAACCACGTTCAAGGTACAAACCACAATTTTCGGCGCCTGCGGCGGGTTTTTTTGCATTCCTTCCAGGTGGAGAGCCCGCGACCGACCCCGTGACCAAGTCGCGACCAACCCGCGACCCAGCCAACGTTCAGGGTGCAAACTACATTTTTCGGCGCCTGCGGCGGGCATCTTTTGCATTCGTGTTTCAGGTGGAGAGCCCGCGGCCCACCCGCGACCACGTTCAGGGCACAAACCACAATTTTCGGCGCCTGCGGCGGGCATCTTTTTCATTCGTTCCCGGTGGAGAACCCGCGGCCCACCCGCGACCCAAACCACGTTCAGTGTACAAACCAATTTGTGCGGCGCCTGCGGCGGGCTGCTTTTGCATCCCTTCCAGGTGGAGGTGGAGAGCCCGCGACCCACCCGCGACTTAAACCACGTTCACTGAAAAAAACAATGCCGCACAAGCGCGGCGGCGGATTTTTGCATGCCGTCTGAGCCCGCAAGGACCTCTTCAAGCCCCGCGCATCCACACCAGCCCCTCCAGCAACTTTGCCCTGGCGAGTTGCCTTGATCAGAGAAGGCCGGGAGCATAAAGTGGAAAAACTGATTGCGCTGCAGTTATCTTGGGAAAGGAGGGGGAGGCAGGAGGAGTAAACAAGGGACGGCGAGAACGCGGAAGAAAGGAGGATGCACGGAGAATGTGGAGAAAGAAAAGGAGGAGGAGCAGGAGGACGAGGAGGGGGAGGAGAGGGAGGAGGGCTGGAAAGCCAGCTGGTAGGGCGGCCAACTGGCACAAGAAGACGTCGATGAAGACGTGGACGATGAATAGGATGACAACGATAACACGTTTATCCATGGCATGTGAATGCACGGTACTGTATGATATGTAATGGGAGGCGCGCGTGCCTAGCTAAAATGGTTGTGGCGGCGTGCGCGGGGGGGGAGAGGAAGGGGAAGGAGCACTGCATCACATGCTACACGCCTCATGCTACGTGCTCTGACATTCCCTTTCAGTCGGGGAAGGAGAAGTCGCCGGAAGTGGCTTCCGCGCATCTGTCTGCAGACGCGCCTCGTGGATGGCGCCCTGGTTGTAGTAAAAACCACTCTGACCAAGACACTGTTCGTATTCACCTGCCCTGCTGCCATGGCGGTCTGGCCTTGGCCTTTGCCGTCGTTCCCACACCGGGTGTGCGAAACGGGCAGTCGTTGCCCCAATGCCCCAATCCTTTGCAGATTCTACACTGATTCTCCATCAGCTCGTGGTTCGGCTTGTCGCCGCGGGTCTCGCCAGCGTACTTCACAAGAATGCGCTGGTGGCACTCCCGCTCGTACCCGTGGTACTTCCGCAACAAGAACTCGATGTCCTTGAGCTTCTCAGGACAATACTTCCGGTACGTATCCGCGAAGATGCCTCGCCACACTTCCGTGTCTCCTGGCTGCGCTCGGCTCCGTGCCGGCGGTTGCTGGGGAGGAGCACGAGGAATGCTGCGACTCCGTGCCGGCACTCGCCGGACACTGCGGCTCCTCGTCGCGATCCGTGCCCGAAGAGGCTGCAGAGGAGCACGGGAGATGCTCCGACTCCGTGCCGGCGCGGTCCGTGCCGAAAGAGGCCGGAGAGGGGCACGAGAGATGCTGCGGCTCCGCGGCGCTGCCCGCCGTCGGCTCTGGGAGGCTCGGCGGCCAGGCGGTGATGTCGTACGCTCATCACGCTCAAGCCTGCCGTGGTCCACCTCGACGGTCGTCTTGTCGAGGCCGGCTGCTTTCGCTCGCCTCCGGTGGCGGTGCGGTGCCGTCGAAGACGAAGAGCTGCTTGCCCTGCTCCCATGTGCGAACGGGTGGTTCCCATTTCCACCAGTAGTCGGGTCGTGGTAAGACTTGGCCAAGTGCACAGTCTTCTGCTGCTTGTCGGCGTTCGTCTGGTACGGGACCTTCGGCACGAAGTCCTTGTACTCGTGGTCGTACTTGAAATAACCATCCATAGCCAAGGTAATAGCATCTCGCGGTATGCACCCTTTGGTGTGGCCATCGCTGTTCATGTCGCGGGTGTCAGCCCATCGAAACACGCTCAACTGCTTCATGTCCAGCTTTTCCCTCAAGTACTGCAGGTGCGGCAGCAAGCCCTTCTCAGCAGGCTCCTTGATGACGATCGCGGACGCCGCCTGGAAGACTGACATGGCGTCGATAACCAAAATTGTATCGAAAACCAAGCGGCCATGTTCAACCATGGTCAAAGTGTGCTGCTTCGATTGGGGTCCCTGGGTGATCTCGCGCAGTGCCAAACAGTGACTCATGAGATCATCGACAGCGTCACATCCAGCAAACAGCTCGCTGCTGAAGGTGTTCCTCGTGACCCGCCTGCGGCTGCGACACTGGGCGTCGATCAGATGGCACACCTGCGCACCAGTCGGGCCCACGCCAACACGGAGGAAGTTGGCACCTCTCATGCCGTAGCCTTTGTCTTCTTCCTTGCGAAAACCACTGTCTGAGAATGCCTGCAGCTGTCTACTGCACTGCATGGCTCTGTACCGCAAGGTCCGCGGGCACCGCTGCATGTGGCGAACAAGAGCGTTGGCGCGCCGCAAATGAATGATCGAAGCATCACGTTGCTGTCGCTGCAGTGAAACAGTGTACACAAGCATGTGAACCTGTGTGATCATGGCGTAACCAAGAGCACCCACCAAGGACCACAACATAGACATCTGCTGCTCAGTGCACTTCTCGTCGCCACGCCTCCCGCTGTACACTTCCGGCGGGATGGTCTGGATGGCGTTCACGTACTCTGTCTGGTCGGTCTCAACGGTGCCGTCTTCGTGCTGCACGTGTCGAATACCGACGTTGGTAAACTTCTTAAGGCTGAACTTGAGTTTTCCGAACACTGCCTCCAAAGAAGTGCGCAGCTTCTGCACCATATGGCTCTCACCACCTACCTTGAGATCGTCCACGTGCTTGCCGCACATGATGTGGAGCTCACCGTCAGAGTTGTGCCCCACCTCGAGCTCAGGGTCTCTGGAGATAGGCTTCAAGTTCAAAGGTGGGCTGCGCGTGACCCGGGCGAGTTTGAGGCTAAAAGCACGCGGTGCTCCTTTCGTGCCAGTGGCGGCCTTCAGCGCCAAGAGCACCTCGGCATGTTCGTCATAAGTTTCATACCCGGGGATGAGCCGGAGTATAGCCGCAGCCCCAGGCGGCAAAGTGAAGTGGGTCACCTCCTGCTCCTCGCCGGTACACGCCGCGACTTCTGCAGTCGTGAGGCCTTGCAGAAAAGCCTTCTCGATGTCGATCGTGGCGAGCACCCAAGTCGGCCTGCAGGCGGTCTCACTGTTGATGAGACATTGGGATTGCCGCGAGGCTGTGCCTGAATAGTTTTCACGCTCGTACGCGAAATAATCTTCAAAGCCTCTCAAACACAACCTCATTCGGATGATTCGCGTCCAGGAACCGTCATCCTTCTGCACCCACTTCCATTTAGCAACAAACCTACTGGACATGATGACTTGTCCGCCATGTGTTCTCGGAGCTCGTTGGAATGCTTGGTAAGAGATCCATATTTTGAGCTCCTCCAGGATTGCTGCCCGGACCTCGGCGTGGTATTTCTTCAGCTCGTCCTTCGTCAGAACGTCCTGGTCAGTAACCACTGCCTTGCGCGACGGGCCGGCGACGTAAATCAGAATCGAGACGAACTCGTCCTCCTGGAACGGGCGGTCCAATGACAGCTTGGACAACTCCTTCGAGAGGTACATCTCGACGCCGCGGTTGCCGCTTTGGTCGATCTGGCTGTGGGTCATATAGGCATTCACGGGCAATCCGGCTGTGAGGTAATGCTGGTACGTGCTAACGTCCTCCTGCAAAAAGTACGCTGGATGCACATGCGCAGAGTGAACATGAACAAGATCGTCCATTGCAAAACTGTTGGTGGATGTTGCTACGCATGACGGTGACGATGATGATGTCGATGATTCGCTATCGCCGTACATGTAGATGTGGAGCGCCGCCTCACGCAGTGAGGCGTCGTACTTGCCGTCTGCGTCGGTCTGGAAGTACGCGTGGAGCACTGCGAGTGCTTCAGATTCCGGATGGGCGTCTGACTCGTTTTCGCCCTCCGGGATCACCTCGAGAGCTGCTGTGCGACGGGCGGGTGCCGATCCCGCTTCCTCGCAAGCCTGCTCGCGATGCATGTCGTGACAGCCATGTGGGAACAGATCGTCCGAAGCTGTGTCATTCGAAGCGTTTCCCAAAGAACGTCCACCATCACAGTAAAGAAAGACCTGCAAGCACACATAATCTTTCCAAGAATCGCCGATGATGTGGTAAAGGTTGATGCGGTCGTTACCATGCTCGATAATGTGGACATTATTGAAGTCGCCCGGCTGCCAAACATAGAGGTAACAAAAATCGGCCCCTGTAAGTTTCGATAGTCGTTGCACCCCTTGCGATAACCTGACAGCCATGACACGCTCTAGGCAGAACAAGTTCGTGACGACATAATGCAATGCTGCTGCAAACCGCCGGTCTTGTCGCAGAGCTGCGGAAGATGTCCATCGTGCCGTCTGCGTGTCGTAGAGCGCTCCCACAAGTTGCTGCGCGCCTCGTAGGGCTTCGGCGCGATTGAGCACGATTGCCAACATCTTTGATCGCGCGCGGTCGTCCTTGCCACTGAAGTGCACCAACTGCGTGAGGAAGGTCAGGTGTAAGGTGTGACGTACGTCCTGATACCTGCACGGCTGGTCTCTGTTGTTGATACGACATAATACTCCTCCTTTGTCAGGTTGGTTTTCAACGACTTTGACTGGACCTCTCCAGCCAGACGTGTCTTTATCGGCGTTCCGCCGGTAGTAGTCGACGTAGTCACCTGGCTGGTACATGCACTGTCCGCTACTGCTCGACTTGCCAGACAAAGCCCGTCTCGTCTGAGCTAGGGCGGAAGCCTGCACAAACGAGTTGATAGCGATCTGTCGGACCCTCTGCTCCTGTCGTCCGTCGGCGCTGTCTGTGGAGCCCGTGCCGGGGATCGGAGGCAGCATAGGGGGCTGCCGGCCATAGACGCACTGATAAGAAGTGCAACCGTTCTTCCCGTAAATGGCATTCATGACAAAGAACGCCTGGCTCACGACGATCTTGATGGGTAAGGTGATGCCCTCCTTGACCATCTGCTCTACGATCAGGTGGATCACGAGCCGGAGCATCTGGCCAGATCGTTCTGCTGTGTGGGCGTGCTGCCCGGGAGCTCTGGTGATCAGCTGAATGCCTTCAGCCTTGAGCGTGGCCTTGGCCCGGTCGCTGTTGAGACCGCCCTCTCCGTCAACAACCAATTGTTCCATAGGGCCGTGGATGCCAATCCACGCTGTCCACAGCGCCTGTAACAGGGTGGACTCGGTCTTGTCGTCCACGACCTCACCTGCATGAAACCTGCAGCATTTATCAACCAAGTGGTAGATCATAAACTGGAGGACGAAGAGGATATCACTTTCGACACGTTGGTTAAACCGGTCTGCCAGAAAACTCGTGGTCTGAGTGGCGTCGCCGGGCTCCTCCCACTGACGGCACTCGCGGCACGTCTTAACAACATCGGCGCTCATATCCAATATTTTCTGTGGTAGTCCAACTGCCGCCAATATGTCGTGGAACGGCTTTTGCTTTATATGCCACCATCGCAGATGTAGTTTACGTAGCTCCCTAAGGCATGCTGCATGGGAGCCATGCCGTAACACAGCCAAGCTGGATCCAATGTCGAATCGAGTCCAGTCGCGCGGCCTCTCTGGGCCGTCGGCTTGCTCCGGGTATCGTGCTCTCTGGTGCTGTGGTGGTCGAGGGACGTCTCGTGCTCGTCTTACGTCAGCGGGTTCCGATCCCGCTCGGGCCACTCCGGGCTCTGGTGCGGCTGCGGGTGCCGATCCCGCCGAGGACGATGCGGGTGCCGATCCCGCTGGGGCCAGCGCAGGTGCCGATCCTGCAGCTGGCGCCTTGTCCTCCATGCTCATGGCCTCCATGTTGCGGGCTTGCTGTTCGTCGTCTGCTGCAAGGTCAGTGCCGTCGGCCAGTTGTGGCTGAGCGTCGGCGACTGGGTTCGTGGCCGGCCTGGCGGACGGCTCCCGGGGGGCCGCGCCCTGGCGGCGGTGACCCAAGAAACGGCGGTCAACATCTTCTAAGTCTCCCCCTGGGCCGCACCTGCATTCATCAGGCATGTACGTGTGGTTGCTGTGCTCAGCGGGCTGCCTCTGACGGCAACCTAAGCAGCTGTACTCTTCGGGCTCTACGTCCGGATACTTGCATTGGCCAGGAATTCGATTGTGTATCGGATCCGTCATTTTGCGTTTGCCCCGGCAGCCAGGGCAATAACCAGCAGCTACCGCCGAAGATGCCGGATACAGATCTTCAGGGTGATCGCATCTGCCTGGGAGGTCTTGGGCCTGTCCACACACGTCGGCCGTAAGAGCAACAGCCGCGGCACATGGTCCTTCCGCGTGCTCCCTGAGGCCTGCGGACCTCTGCCTGGCCCGCCGTACCACTAGTAAGATACCATCGCTGATAGTGCTGGCCAGGGTCCACGTCCATAGTCGATGGTTTGCTGATGGCTCAACTGTTGCTTGGTCGTGCTCGCGTTTCCCATCGCATTGAAAGTTAACCAGTGGACGTAGAAGTAAAACATCGTTGGATGTCATCTGCGTGATCTTTTTGGCGGGCACGCCACATCGTCCAACTGCACCTGTAGCAGACTCGTGGATAACAAGCGTGTTAACGGATGCGTCGGCCAACACGGTTGGCCAAGGTAACTCGTCGTACAATGTGGTGGTAACCGGCTGCCCACTCAAGAACGAGCTGTCGTCGTCGTGCCGTTGTCGTTGTCGTACCTGGTGTAACGCAACGTGGCCGCAGAAACGACCGTGTGAGGCGCAGGACGTGCACGGTTCCTTCCAATTAGAGCTGACGATGGCGACGATGGGGCGTCGCTCACGCAAGTACTGCATGGCCAGCTCCTGGTCCCTACTGCTATCCAGGTCAACCCCAGACAGCACGTCGAAGTAACCACCTGTATGGAGACGTCTCCGGGCGCACACCGCAGAGACCTGCGCCTGACCTCCGCAGAATTCTACTAGGTCGTCCCGGTCATCATGTTGAGAAGAAAGGAATACGAACTCCTCAAAACTGCTGCATACTCGGAGGTTGGGGCGGGGATGCTGAAAATCCGTCGCTTCCCCCTCTGGCCCCATCAGGAACCATAGTGCTAAAGATGTGGATTCCGCATGCGTCTCGAAGAGGTCGTCTGCAACGTAGGTCGTGTACGTCGCCGCAACAGGGTGCGACACGCCGGCGTCCACCCGGCAGTGGCGGCACCGATCCGCCGTCGTAACGCACTGCTTGTCGCCAGGATGGTGCCGATCCACCGTCGTGACGTTCTGCTTGTAACCAGGGTGGTGCCGATCCACCGTCGTAACGTAAGAGCTGCCTATGCCCAGGTCGCCCTGCGAGCCGCCAAAGTCGCAGAGCTCGACGAAGTAGTCCGCTCCCAGGGCCGCATAATCCGTGCCAAGTCCACGGAGATCTTCTCCGCAGTCGTCGTAATGCTTTTCGATGGTGAATTTTCGTTTGTTTGGCGTCTCCCCACGTTCTTTCATAGCTTGGAGTCGTGCTTTCTGTCTTACGCGCTCCTCTGTGGGGTACGCGTGCGCCGGCGACGGAGAAGATGATGAAGGAGAAGGTGATGGAGAAGAAGTTGATGAGGGAAGGTACGCTGCACCACTGAATTTCCTAAACGAGTCTGCTTCACAGTCGGGCGCTCCATAATATTGAGAAGACGTTGGGGATTTAGAAAAATTAGGAAAGGACGTCGAGTCGGGAAGGGAAGAGCCAGTGCAGGTACCCTGCCTGTTAAACATCTCCTCGAGGATATATTTCGCTGCTTTGACCAGCGCGGTGGTTTTATGCCGAGACATCGTGCCGGTCGCCTTCGTCATGATGTCGTTGGCATGGTCGTCCTGCTTAACGGTGCACCTACACGAATGGCTCGGTAAACGCATGGTTGATGCCACCCGGACACAAGTACGGCTTGGACCCGCTACGCCAGGATCGATTTTGATACCCATGTAACATAGACGATGGTAAGAAAACTGCAACGTCCCATCCGTGATGGCGCTCTGGATTTGCGGGTCGTCCCATTTTCTGCCCTGGAAGCCAAAGATAAGGTAATGTATAGCATTTTGCTTGCATAGCCTAGCCCAGTTTAGTAATTGTGTGATATGTGCATACCATTTGTGGTGAGGTACGTTGAAGCCCACAATGGGGTATTGAGATATGAAGAGGTTGACCTTGTTGCTCTTGATCATGCTGGAGATATCGCCGGTACTTCCTGTATTCACGGCCATGTGGTTGTGACGTTGCACACGATAGCCCAAAGATGTGAGCACAGTACTGATACCACACTCCATCTCAATAACGATAGTCCAACTCATAGTCTCGAGATTGCCACCGCCAACTTTGGGCGGATCGCCTGTGCCCTCCGTCTGCGAACAAGCGGCCTTTGAGGGCGTCTTGCCGCCTGTCCCTAGTCACTGGCGCTGGGTTGCACCTTGCGGGGGCCGATCCCGCTTAGGTGCTGGTGGTGTTGTCGCTGTTGTCTTTTGCTGTCCTGGTACAACGTGCAGCGTAGGGACGGCCGTTTCGACGCCACCCTTTGCTTTGGGCAGCTTGTCGTAATGAGCGCAACCTACCATCAGATGCCCAGACAGACCCTGCTCCATAGGGATTCTCACCGTGCCGGGGCTCCACTGAATAGTATAGCCCCCAGGGCCTGGAAAGGTCATCATCTCCTTGCCGTCCTCCAGCTCCAGGACAGCACGCTTGTCCTTCAACGACCTGAGGCCTACGATCAGTGGGAGCTGGTGGCCCATGCCGTTTTTGGGGCTCTTGTCGATGAGAGGGACCTCGTAATTGAACATCGTGGCGACACCATCTTCCGTCATGAAGGCTACGGGGACGGTGGCCTTGTACTCGCCCTTCTGCGTGCCGTGGCCGACGCCTTGGATCTCCAGGGGGCAATCTAACTTGGTCTGTTTCGGCTCGTAGCCTGCGTTGAGGGCTGCTTGAGCCGCCTCCCGGCCACGATCGGCGCCTCCAACGTTTGTCCATGCACCGATGTCCACGAGGAGTGCGGGCGATCCGTTCGCCAGAGCGGTCTTGGCATGATAGTATCCTCGTGGCTGCGGGACGTCCCCGGCCGGTGTCCATGGCAACGTTGGAGCCGCTCCGCCTGGTCGTGGTGCTGGCCCGGATGAGGCTGCTGAGGTAGTGGACTCCTGTGGGCCGATGAATCTGAACCTGGATGCAATCCTGGCTGATCCGCGGCAGTTCGGGCATTCGGGATTTGGGGGTTCCACGCCATTCCTGCGTGCCTCTTGCGTGCGACGCTGGCCGTCGGCAGCATAGTCCTGCAAGCACTCGCTGTGGAAGAGGTGCCTGCAAGTAAGACGAGTCACGACCTCCCCGTGCCCAAAATCCATCAAGCAGAAAGAGCACTGCGAGTTATCACCAAGGTAGTCCTGGCCGAGGGACTGGCGAGCTCGCAAATTATCCTGCATCGATGCCAACTCTGCCGGCATGTCTGGTAGCGGGTCAGTTGGGCGTGGGGGCCTCCTCCTACCCTTCATCTCCTTGATCCTCCTCTGCTCCTCAGCGCACTCCTGCACCATCCTCAAGCTGCTCAGCATCTGCTCCTGCTCATCGCTCATGTTCCGCATCGGCGCTGCGGCGAGGCCAACTGCGGGAGCTGGGCGTTCCCACTCTGGCGTGGCCATCCAAGTCTCCACCTCGTGCTGGTGAACGGTGGCCTCGCGTTGTCCAGGGTCCAAGGTTGAGGGTGCGAATCCACCAGTGGCGCCGCTCCAGAGAGGAGTAAGCTGATCGCTGGCCTGGAAAGGCCTCCCTTCGCCGGCGAGCAAGTAGGAGAAGGACTCGTGCTGTGTGAAGCTGGGCAGATCGACCTGTGGAGCGGCAGGGATCGTCTGGACGACCTGTGCGCCTGGGATCACGGCATACGAGAGGTCGCCTGCTCGGACGATGTTCGGTGCCTGGACGGGTTGCGCGCGCGGCCCTGGGCGCGCAGCTGGAGCAGCAGCGCCGGCAGACGCTGCCCCAGGGCTGCCTGCGAAGCCTTGTTGCGAAGTTGCCGACTCGTAGCCTTCTGACTGGTCCGAGCCCTGCGGGGTCGTCGCAGGTCCGATCATCAACACGTGGGTTGCTGCACTGCTGACCTCAGGGATGAGGCCTGCCAGCGGGCCGTTTTCGAAGTCGACGGGTGGAGGTAGAGAGGGTACCGATCCCTCAACCAAGCCGTACCAGTTGTTCGCCCCGCTGCCGCTGCTGCCGCCGTAGCCCACGGCGCCGTCACTCCGTTGTGGCGGTCCTGTCAACAACGTCGGGGAAGACTGGCGCGGGCAGTCCTTGACTAAGTGTTCGTCGCTGCCGCATCCATGGCACCTCATGGTCACTCCATTGCGGTCTTTTGGGTTCTTGCGGCGGCCGAAACCGAGACCGCTGCTTTTTGCGTGTTTCCCCTTGCCTTTGCCCTTGCTCAGGAAGATGCTGCCGAGATTGCCCGCATGATGGGCATTGGCGAGAAATGCGTTTACAGACGTCTTGCCATGGTTTGGCAGTTTTCCTTTGCCCTTCCCTTTTCCTTTCTTCCTAACGAAACGGCGCACTTTCCTAGTAGCCTTGCCGGCGTATTGGCGCCACCTGGATTTGGCCATTCGGTAGGCCCAGAAGATATCTTGGCCATGGCGTTCCGGAGGGCCTGTGGGCTCAGGGTGTGGAGTGTTACCCAAACTACTTACTGTGTCCGAGTCCGTGCCGCTGTCCATTTCGTCGTCGTTGCCGTCGCCGTAATACATGTGCTCTGTGAGTGTGAACGGGTCTTGCTCTTGGTACGTGGGCCCATTCATCATATAGGTCATGTTTGGTTCATCTTGTTGTTCGTGCTGTGCTCGTGGAGGTTCTGAGCCTTGTGCTCCGAAGTATGTGTGCGAGCGCCCCCTGTCGTTCCGGAGCTGGGAGGCTATATTATCAGGAGCTCCCTCCACGATATGTCCCATTCGACGTAAACGAGTGCATAGTTCCACGTATTGCTGCTCTGTGGAAGGTGTCAAACCGTTGGTGGGCTCCAAGAGTCGCATCAACTGCTCCTCGCTCAACATGCACGCCTGCAATAAGATCTCGGCGGTCGTTTGGATGTTGATGGCGAGACCTCCGTCGGATTCCGCCCTGTGCCGGACGATGTCGAATCTCGTGAGCAAGTCGTCGATTCTCTCCCGGGGCTCCGCCTGGAACCTAAGGAGGGCCTTGCTGGCCTTCATCCGCGTTTCCTCTCCTAGTGGACCGTACCGTTCTGACAACGAATGTAAGCGAAATGTCATTGCACCAACTTGCACGCCATTTATTTGTCCACCGTGGATAAATGCCTGGGGCGGCATGGTGTTCATCAAGTTCTTGGCGCCCCCACGGAGATTTGTCGCAACCCACGCTGCTTTTCGAGTTTCGGGGAGGTCTTCCCGAATACTCCACAGCATAACGTCGCGAGTCCAGTCTCGAAATGGGTACCTGTCCTGCATGTGGGGGTCCCACACTGGCGGACCCCTGCTTTCCCGCATGTCGTTATACATGTATGCGATAACGGATGCAAAGACGATGAACAGGATGATGAAATTGATGAGCATGAAGTGTTCCTTGATGTACTCTGTGATATTGCGCCGGGTGCCGATCCCGGGCTGACCTGTGGACTGTTTCTGGGTTCCGATCCCAGTGTTCCCTAGCTGTTGCTGCGTTTGGGCACCGATCCCAGATACTACAGAATCCGTAGGCGGCTGGGTACCGATCCCAACGCCTACCGGAAAGGTAAGATGAGGCTGGGTACCGATCCCAACCTCCGTCAGGAACCTGCTCGCACCAAGCAGCGCCCCAGTAGTAGATGTTGTAGTTGTGGTGGTGGTGGTGGTATTTGAAGTTGCCGTCGTAACGCCCGTCGTGGTCGTGGTCGTGGCACTCGTGCTCATTGTTCTCGTCGTCGTAGTTGTGGTACTTGTCGTAGCCATAGCCGTGGTAGGTGTATTCGGGAGTGTCGTAGTAGATGTAGCCGTAGTGGTACCAAGTCGCATCCCGCGAGCCTGGTGGAGTGTTTCTGCGGTTACGCCACGTCGCATCTCGCGAGCATGGCGTGCTGGGCCGCGTCGTATCCAGCGACTGCGGTGTGAAACTGGTTCTGCGGTTACGCCTTGTCGCATCCCGCGAGCAAGACGTGCATTGGGCTCAACCCGGCGGTCCGTCATCGAGACGGCTCCGCTACCAGCTGGAAAGCCAGCTGGTAGGGCGGCCAACTGGCACAAGAAGACGTCGATGAAGACGTGGACGATGAATAGGATGACAACGATAACACGTTTATCCATGGCATGTGAATGCACGGTACTGTATGATATGTAATGGGAGGCGCGCGTGCCTAGCTAAAATGGCTGTGGCGGCGTGCGCGGGGGAGGAGAGGAAGGGGAAGGAGCACTGCATCACATGCTACACGCCTCATGCTACGTGCTCTGACATTCCCTTTCAGTGGAGGGGGAGGAGGAGGACGAGGAGGGGGAGGAGGGGGAGGATGATGATGATGATGATGATGATGGTGATGATGATGATGATGATGATGATGATGATGATGATGATGATGATGATGATGATGATGATGATGATGATGATGATGATGATGATGACGACAATGGGAGGACGATGATGGAGGCCGATGAGGGGGAGGACGACAATGGGAGGACGATGATGAAAGGACGAGGGGGGGAGAGGGAGGACGAGGAAGAAGAGGAGGAGGACGAGGTGGAGGAGGAGGATGACGATGACGATGAGGACGAGGACGAGGAAGAGGAGGAGGAGGAGGAGGAGGTGGAGGAGGAGGAGGAGGAGAGCGCCATCGACAGGGAAGGTGGGGGCCACGAGGTCCGCCGGCTCGACGACGAGGAGAGCGCCATCGACAGGGAAGATGGGGGCCACGAGGTCCGCCGGCTCGACGACGCCCGCGTCGTCCGCGCCCGCCCCCTCACTCTTATCCGCAATTGCGGGGTGCTACGTAGGGATGTATACGAGATGCGTAGACAAAAATCCTCCTCCTCCTCCCCCCCTCTTTCTCCTCCTCCTCCTCCCTTCTTCTGATCTTGGGCATGCTGCGGGAGCGATCGCTCGAGTTGTCCTCCTCCTCCTCCTCCTCCTCCTCCTCCTCCTCCTCCTCCTCCTCCTCCTCCTCCTCCCTCCTCCTCCTCCTCCCCCTCCCTCCTCGTGATGACTGCACGGCCTCCCAAGCGCCGCTCTCCGCCCCGCCGCCGCCGCCCCCCCCCCCCCGGGAAGGGGCCAAGACCTCTGGGGGCCCACGTCGTGAAAAAAACGTGGCGCCGGGGGGGTCTGGCGGGCAGGGCGAGTCGAGGCAGCGGCGGCTCAAGGTCGGTCCCCAGGTCCCTCTCTGGGCCCTATAGAGGTCTTCCAAGCGGGGTCCGAGCAGGTGGGGTCGGAGGGTCGCCGATGCATCGGCGACGTCAGCGATGCATCAGCGACGTCGGCGTGGAGAAAATCGAGATCCACGTCGAGCCGCATCGCCGACGCATCGGCGATGCGGAGCGATCCTTCGACCCCAGCTGCTCGGACCCCCACTGGGGAGGCCTGGCCTGGCCTGGCCCCTCGTCCGCGCCCTCCTCGAGCCAGAAGAGCGGGAAGTGTGCACAAGCACCGACCCTGGCCGAGCCCACCCTGGGCCCAGGATCGTTCTGCGGCAACTCACGGGAGCCTCCCATACCATCTTGCCGGCTCTTTCGAATCGACGCTAATCGACGCTAAATCGACGCTAATCGACGCTGAATCGACGCTAATTCGACGCTAAATCGACGCTAGCCGACGCTAAGTCGGCGCTATCTCGTCGACTCCCAGACGCTAATCGACGCTAGTCGACGCCAAACGCGGAATTAAGAGGGCACACGCCCTCCTGGCTTGGCGCAGGGGAGCAGAGGCGCCGATCCTGGGCCCCTGCATGGGCCTGAACAGGACGGGCGCCTGTGCGCACTTCGCCCGACGAGCGACAACAGCCGAGCCCTCTTTCCCCTGCAGGTCGGGCTGCTGACACGGCGGCCGGGGCTCGGAGTTCGAGGAGGGTCTGCGGCCCAGTGAGCCCACGCGGGGGTGTCCCAGCGCCCCAGCGTCGGACCCGCAGGGGTGCAGGGTTCGCACGCGGCCCCGTATTCCTCACACTGCAGAGGTCGAGTGGGGATCAACTACAGAATTGGTTAGCCCAAAACTGATTAGTTCGTAGAATCCACGAAACAATGTGCGGAAAGAGCCGCATATCCACGAACATTCGACGTATGTGTCACAAGTTCCACGGGGACACCCATTTAATTTACAGTCGGGCAGCTGAAAGAAGGAACGCTGTACAAAGAACGAAGCCCCTTTTGGGCCCTGAAAGCGCCTCCGTGCCCGAGGAGGGCAAGAGGAACAGCAAAGGAGGAACCTAAGGAACATCGAGCCCCTTCCGAATCCAAATTGTCCGTTATTTCAGCGTCTTGGCTGTAGGGGCAAATCAATTCTGCAGTCGATCCTCCACTCGAAGAGGCAGCAGCGCGGGGCGGCGCGCGCGCGCCGTCCGGCAGGGGCGGCCACTGCCCCCGGGCGGGCAGCCCGAACTGGGCCAGGCAGCCTCGACGGCACGGGCAGGAGCAGCGAGGAGAAGCGATGAAGAGGAGGAGGGGGAGGAGGAGGAGGAGGAGGAGGAGGAGGAGGAGGAGGAGGAGGAGGAGGACCTGGGCTCGACCAGCGGCTCCCATAGGCAGAACACAAGCACATTAGCAAAACAAACAGAAAAACGCAATCGAAACAAACACGTCGTCGGATACTACGTCGCGAGCGCTGGGGCCCGGTGGCTCTTCGGCTCGAACTCGGGCCACGGGAGGCCCGTCTGGAAGCGGCCCTGGCGCGCCCCCCCCCCCCCCCCCCTTGGAAACCCTCGGCGAGGCGCGGCCGCCGCAAGCGACCCCCAGAGGGCTAGAGCCTCCTGAAGCCGCCACGGGCCCTGGAGGGCCCCGCCTGGGATGGTGGCCCGGCGATTCTGGGCCGCTGTTATCCCCCCGAGCCAGTCCCCCCCCGCCGTTGCCCCCGAAAAGATGTGCTCCGCACGTCCTTCTCAGGGACTGGTGGGGCCAGGTCACACGAGACTCGAGCCTTCGAGCTGCGAGAGGCGCGAGGCGCGGCTATCGTCGCACCATCGTGCCGACCCCTTGGAGCACCGACGGCTCCTCGACCCGGGCTGCGCGGCGCCACGATTGAAGCAGATCTCTGAATATCTGTGGACCTACACTGACTTGTCTGGGCTCACACTGGACCGCGCCAGCTCAGATCCGTCCTTTCTCCATGAGTATCGTGAGCCCCACTGGCCGATGTACCCCCCTAGATGGGGATGATATAGGTCGTTCCCTTCAGGTTTCGAGGGGTGTATCCCCAACTGGGGTGGCAATTTGGTGGGGATCTCGAAGGGGATGAGGATGGGGATGGGGGTCGGTTAAACGATACTGACTCCAAATGGCCTTGTCTAGAGGAGTCCCGGCTCAGGACCTGGAGAACTGGTGCAGTGTACCCACCCCCTTGTCTGCCCTTGCACGGTCAAACTATCCACATGCTTTCCCGTGTATCCGCACGGTTTCCTCTGCTGTCCGCATGGTTTCCTCTGTGTTCGGACGGTGTCCTCTGGTATTTCAGCAGCTCCCTGTGGCTATTACGGTGGCGTCCCAACAATCGTCCAACAGTCGTCAGAACCATCCGCATGGCCTCCTCTGCACACGCATTGCTTTATCTACTATTCCAATGGCTTGTTGCGGCTATTCCAATGCCGTTCCAACAATCGTCAAACAATCGTTAGACTCCGACGCAGAATAGAGTAGAGTAGAAGAGAGTAGAGTAGAGCATAAACATTGGAGTAGAGTAGAATAGAGTAGAGTATAAAAGGTCATATGTGTGCTAGATCAGAAAAGAATCCAGAGTAGAGTACAGGAGAGGAGAAGAGAGGAGTAGAGTAGGAGTGGGAAGTAGGAGTAGGAGTCAGGATAGCCAGGTCGAGCGAGTCAGAGGGCCCCGCCCAGTCCTGCTCTCCCTCACACAACAGAAGAATCAACTGCGGCCCAACTTGACATTGGGATTGGAATGCGCTCCCACCTCGCAAACTGAAAGCGCTCGCGCGCGACCCCATTGCCGACGACATGGCGAACAGGTACGCGGCCCGCGCAGGGGCGGGAGCGGCAAAACTTCGAATGGGCACGTCGAAGACGAAGCACGCGCCGCGCTGACACAGCACTGTCCCGTTCGCTCACAGACGCCGCGGCGCTCGGGCGAGGCCAGCATCTCACCCGCTCCTGCGCGGCCCCGCGGCCCCCTGTCGCTTCCATGCGCTTCGGCGAACGAGCCAGGCGCCACGCCAGCGCTGGAACGCCACGGCCCAGCGAAAGGCGCACGGAACTTCGGCGAGGGCGACAAATCGCCGATTCGCGCGGGCCCTCCGTGAGAACTGGCGAGTGGAGGGTATGCGCCCCGCCGAGGCGGGAGCGCCACTTGCAGGCGAAGTCTGCGCGGCGCCGAGGAGAACGCTACATCCTCGTCCGCTCCGCTCGCGCGTCGACGAGGTCGCCTGCGAACAGTGCGCGCCGCGCCCAGGCGAGAGCTCGACTCTCTGGAACAGCCAGCGCGGCGCCGAGGCGAACGCGACGTTTCGGCCTTTCGCGCGGAGTGCGCGCCCCGTCCCAGTCCTGTCGCGCATGTGGCAACATGGACGACAGAATGTCCACGCTGAGACGGAGAACGCTGACGCTGCATCTTCCACAAGTAAGGCGGGACCCCCCAGATCCGGTTGCGATCCGCTGGCTGCGTGGTAGAGCAGAAGTAGATACCAGTAGCCAATAAAAAAAGATAGTGGAGTGGAGCAGAGTAGAGCACGCGACAGTTGAATGCACTAGAGAAGGTCGGGCAGGGTAGGGTAGAGTAGGGTAGAAATTATCCCACCAGCCCTCTGGGCGTCGGTGGTTTAACGAGTTTCCTCTTCCACCCCTCCCTCTTCCCCTTCGGGGAGGGGTTTACCCCTCCCCCTACCCCCTCCCCACTGACCTGGACAGGGGGTTCCGCGGCGCGTTGGAGCGCCCAAGATCGACCCCTGGGAGGGCTAAAATTCGACACCCCTCACGAGGATCGTGGCTCCTGAGGGGGGGACTGTAATTAGGGAACCCCCCTTCGTTGATCGATCTCCTCCAAGATGGCTCCGAGGCCCCCCAAGAGGCCCCCAGGAGGCCCCCAAGAGACCCCCAAGAGGCCCCAAGAGACCCCCCAGAGGCACCCAAGAAGCGCCCAGGAGGCCCCAAGAAGCGCCCAGGAGGCCCCCAAAGGCCCCAAGATGGCCCCAAGAGGCCCCAAGAGGCCCCCAGGAGGCCCCAAAGAGGATCCCGAACGGCCCACAGAGGCCCCCCCGAGGCACCCAAGACGCCGAAAAGCCCCTCAGGACGACCCTCTTCTCGCCTGGGCGTCGTTTCTGGACGGGCTGGTGGGGATACGCGAAGCGTCTAGAATTTTGCCTCAAGCGATCCCCACCGAGACCTCAAGCGTTTGTTCCCGATGGCGCGCGGTCGCCAAATTGGTCGACAGCTGCCGCTTCTGGGATTCAAAACAAATTATCCCGGCAAAGCAACCTAACAGCGATGTGTAGGAGCATATCTGGAAGCATTCCCCTTAAGATTCGGATGAGAATCCAGTTGTAGAATTCTGCTGTTCTCGCAGTCGTAGTCGCATTCGCGATGACAGTCGCAGTGGCAACGGCAGTCGCAGTCACAGCCTCAGCCTCAGCCTGCCTCAGCCTCAGCCTCAGCCTGCCTCAGCCTCAGCCTCAGCCTGCTTCAGCCTCAGCCTCAGTCTGCCTTCAGCCTCGGCCTCAGCCTCAGCCTCCCTCAGCCTCAGCCTCAGCCTCAGCCTGCCTCAGCCTCAGCCTCAGCCTGCCTCAGCCTCAGCCTGCCTCAGCCTCAGCCTCAGCCTGCTTCAGCCTCAGCCTCAGTCTGCTTCAGCCTCGGCCTCAGCCTCAGCCTGCCTCAGCCTCAGCCTGCATCAGCCTCAGCCTCAGCCTCAGCCTGCCTCAGCATCAGCCTGCCTCAGCCTCAGCCTCAGCCTGCCTCAGCCTCAGCCTCAGCCTGCTTCAGCCTCAGCCTCAGTCTGCCTTCAGCCTCGGCCTCAGCCTCAGCCTGCCTCAGCCTCAGCCTGCATCAGCCTCAGCCTCAGCCTCAGCCTGCCTCAGCCTCAGCCTCAGCATCAGCCTGCCTCAGCCTCAGCCTCAGCCTGCCTCAGCCTCAGCCTCAGCCTCAGCCTCAGCCTGCCTTTCAGCCTCAGCCTCAGTCTGCCTTCAGCCTCGGCCTCAGCCTCAGCCTGCCTCAGCCTCAGCCTGCATCAGCCTCAGCCTCAGCCTCAGCCTGCCTCAGCATCAGCCTGCCTCAGCCTCAGCCTCAGCCTGCCTCAGCCTCAGCCTCAGCCTGCTTCAGCCTCAGCCTCAGTCTGCCTTCAGCCTCGGCCTCAGCCTCAGCCTGCCTCAGCCTCAGCCTGCCTCAGCCTCAGCCTCAGCCTGCCTCAGCATTCAAAATGTGGCCCGGGAATGGAATTCTGGGAACTCGAAGAACACGAAGTGGCCTACAGTTGGCTCCGGGCATTCAAAATCATGCCCAGGAATGGAGTTCTGGGAACTCGAAGACACGAAGTGGCCTACAGATTCAGTGGCCTCAGTTGGCCTACAGTTGGCTCCGGGCATCCAAAATGTGGCCCGGGAATGGAGTTCTGGGAACTCGAAGACACGAAGTGGCCTACAGTTGGCTCCGGGCATCCAAAATGTGGCCCGGGAATGGAGTTCTGGGAACTCGAAGAGCACGAAGTGTGTGACTGTTGCATCCGGCCCTCCAGAATGTGGCCCGGGAATGGAGTTCTGGGAACTCGAAGAGCACGATGTGTGTGACTGTTGCAAGAATGTGGCCTGGGAATGGAGTTCTGGGAAGTCGAAGAGCACGAAGTGTGTGACTGTTGGTGAAAAACGAGCCCGGCACCTGCCGCCCGGCAACTCCCAACACCTGCCCGGACCCCCCTGTGGAGTGATCTGCTGCTCTCTTTTGATCCCACTAGAAACCTATCAGTCTTCGCTGTTAGGTAAAAACGGTTCAACCGTGTTCCATGCAGTCACGTTCTTTCATGGTGTGCTCTGTTATGTCCTGTTCTGCTCTCGACGGGTCGGCGTGACGTCGAGGACGCCTGTGACGTTAGATATGTCGTCTGTTATGATGTTCGTCTTCACTTACATGTCTCTTCTGGATGAGTCTGGTATGTTGTGTTCATATATGGAACCATATACATTGACATGCTATGGTGGGATCTGCTATGTGACATTATGTGATGCCATGATGTATATGTCAAAATATGTGATAGTATGGTGTGTTCCGCGAAGCTGATGGCAGCGCGGCTCAGTGTAGTATATCATGATATGTTCTGCTAATATGTTTCTCTGTGCTTCGATGTCGTGTGACTATGCGTTCTTCCCCGATCAGTGCTTGCACTAAAGGGGTCCTAGCGGAAACTGGAAATTTCCCGCCAGTGTTGGTACCAGGCTGGGTTCCCGGGTTCCCGGTTCCGGAATGCTGGGTTCCCGGTTATTGGTTCCGGGCCGATTTCGGTGGGTTCTGGGTTCCCGGGCTCCCGGGCTCCTGGTCGATCTCCTCAACGAAAACCATCCACTGATTGGGGCTCTCTGGTGTAATGTGATGCTGTCGCGATATGGAATAAAATGTTGCCATGGTGTAGTATGGTATGTGTGGCTATGTCATGGCATGTTGCGTTATGTCGTCTTCTGTCATGTCGTGCTCTGTTCTGGTATGTCATGTGATGCAATAAATGTTGACGGCTCGGCTCTGTATAGCACTGCTCTGCTAGGCTCTGCTGCCCTGTTATGACACGTTATGTGATGCTGTGCAATGACATGATATGTTATGGCAAGGTGTGTTATGGTATGCTCGGTCATGTTATGCTGTGTTGTGTTCTGCCGTCGTCTGCTCTGGCATTATCTGGTATGTGATGTTATGTTATGTGCTATGTTGTGATGGCATTGCTATGTTCTGGTTTGAGATGGCCTGTCATGCTCGTGTTCTGTCCTGTCATGCTCTGGTGTGTCAGGCTGTGGTATGTCGTGTTCGACGAGGCTATGCTCTGCTATCGTGTTATGGGCTGCTCTGTGATGCTGTATCATGATATGATCTGGCCTGTCAAGGTGTGCTTGATATGATCAGCTCTGTTCTGTCATGTCGTGCTCTGTCGTCTTCTGTAATGGCATGTTCTGATCTGGTATGCTATGTGATGTTCTGCTTGTTGATGGCCCAGCTCTGCATAGTAGGTTCTGATATGCTCTGCTAGTATGTGTCGATATGCTCTGTTGTCGTGTCATGATGTGCTAGATGATGTTGTGTCACGACCTGATATGTTATGTCAAAGGGTGTTATGTGATGCTCGGTTATTTTATGTTATGCGGTGTTCAGCCGTCGTCTGTTCTCACATGTTCTGCTCTGGTATGTTATGTGACGTTATGGTATGCCCTACGTTGTCATGGCATTCCTATGCATGGTTCTGCCATGTTCTGACATGCTCGTGCCATGTTATGTTATATTATGTTGTGTCATATTACATTAGGTCGTGTTCGTGGTCGCTATGCTCCACCGTCGTGTTATGGTATACTCTGTGGTGCTGTGCCATGATATGATATGTTATGTCAAGGTAGGCTATGTTATGATCGGCTATGTTTCGCTATGATGTGTTATGTCGTCTTACGGTATGTCAGCTTCTGCTCTGATGTGTTGTGTGGTGTTATGGTATGTGTTATGTGTCATGGCATTGCTATGTTATGTTATGGCATGGTATGGCATGCTCGTGTTATGGTATGTCATGCTATGTTGTGTCATGTTGTGTTATGTCGTGTTCGTCGTCGCTATGCTCCGTTGTCGTAATATGATATGGTATGTGATGCTGTGTCTTGATATGATATGGTCTGTCAAGGTGTGTTATGTGATGCTCAGTCATGCTATGTTGTGTCATTGTCTGTCGTCTTCTGTTATGCCATGTTGCGCTCTGGTATGTTCTGCGATGTTCTGTCAAGCTCGATCCAAACATGAGATTGATATGTTTTTTATGTCATGTTGTGTCATGATTTGTTCCGTTATGTCATGTTATGTTCTGTCATGTTGTGATCTGTCGTGTTCGTCGAGGGCGCGAGGTGGGACACCCGGGACTCTCGGGGATCATCGGAACAACTTGGGGTCTGGCGGCCGCGGTATGCAGGGTGGAATTGGCTGATCGCGAGGTGGGACACCTGGGACTCTCGGGGATCACTGGACAACTTGGGGTCTGGCGGCCGCGGTATGCAAGGTGGGTTGGCCCGGCGCGAGCCGGGATACCTGGGACTATCGGGACAACTTGGGGTCTGGCGGCCGCGGTATGCAGGGTGGGGTTGGCCTGGGGGGCCTGTTCTTAAAATCTAACAATAACAACCCCAGCTTGTCGCGTGAAGAAAAGCAGAATCCGCCGACCCTGTCGGCCGTTTGAGTCGTCGTTGTTGCCGGTCCCCCTCAAGCGTTCCAGCCAGAGGGAGATCGAGTAACGTCGTAATCGGTCGGGTCGCAGGGAAGCCCCTTCAATGAAGCCCCTTTCCTTTGATCCTTCCCCTGCTGGAGTGGGGGTAAAACGAGAGGTCCCGGGGGGGGGGGCCCGAGAGGGGTGGGAAGGGCACGGCGGGGGGTCCTAAGGGTTGTCACCCTATGCCCCCGACGGGGAGGCGCTCCCCCTCTGGGAGAAGCTTTCGGCTCCAAAACGTTGACGTCGTCGTCATCGCCGTCGTCGTCGTCGTCGTCCCCCTTCAAACTCGGCACTACCGGCCGAAGGTCTTCGCAATACAGTAGGATCCAATAGAATATGGTAGATGGTAGATAACGTCGGGTACTAAAACAGAGCTAAGTAACGGTGAAGTGAAGTAGAAAGGTACATAATCGAACAGAGCAGGGTGGAGTAAGAGTAGAATAAACGGGGGACGACTAGAGGATCGTAAAACAGGAGTAGAGAGGGAATATAATAGTGGAGTCGGCCTAAATAGAATACAATGGATGAGAGCAGAGTAGAGTAAGCCAGGGCCGGTCAAGGTCGAATAGAATCGGGTATCATAGGGCACAGTAGAATGGAGTAGTCCACCCCAGTCCAGTCCAGTCGACCCTATTCCATTCGACTTTACTCCACCCAAGTCCGCTTCACTCCAATCTTGTGATCAATTCGGATGCTGCGCTGGCTGATGTCATCTGGCTGCCCCCGCACAATTGAGAAGAGCCGTCAAGCCCTCGCGAATTTCGCCAGGCCCAGGGGCGCCAGATCGGGCTGCACCGGCACGGATTCGGAATCCAAGCGGCTCGGCCGCGCCAGGATGCACAACAGCGCCGTGCCTGAGGCCAACAGCTCAGGCCTCAGGCGGCAGTTCGGGACGAAGCGGCACCCCCAGAGGGCTCCTCGACGACGCGCAGCAGGTGGAGGTCGGCCCAGGTCCCGACCAGCAACCTCTGTTCGCAGCGCTGGCGGACGCGAGCGCGACTGCAGAGCCGACGGGCCGCGCCAGACACTGGGCTCACTAGCGCGTGTGGAAGCCCGTAGGACGGCCGCGGAGACGGTCGCAGCCCCAAACCCCCAAAACCTCGAAGAGAGCCCCACCGACCTCCGAAGGCCTGTGAGAAAAACCCGTTGCCTGCCTGGTGGTGGTGCGTGCTCTCCTTCGCCTGGGCCGGCGCGCGCCGTCGCCGACGGAGATCAACCCAAACACTGTTTCTCGATTTCGTGTTGCTTCCGTCTTCCATCGAAATCGAAGCGAAAACGGCGCACGGGGTCGCGGGGCCACCATTGGGGACGGCCCCTGCTCGCCGGCACAACCCCCACCCCTGCGGGGGCGCGGCACGGCGACCCCGCCGCGAGGGCCTCGCACCGCGCGGTAGAAGGACAGCCCGTCGAGGGTGCCCGCCTCTTCGCCGCGCCGCGGGAGGGGGGGCCGGCGCATCGAGCAGCCGGGCAGACGAGCACAGGGCGCCCAGAAAGGGCGTACGCGCCCAACCACGAGCACGAGCACGGCCCCCCAGCCCGCGAGACCAGCCGCGCGATGCGAGCGATCGCGCAGCGCGTGCTCTCGAAAGCAGCGCGGATTCATGCACGCGTACGTCCTTCTTCGCGCCTCGTGGCCTGCCAGAGTCTAGAGCGGCCTTGCCGCGGTCCCCCTGCAGGGGGATCGCTGGCGCGGCTCGGCGCGCTGGACCTGGGAGGAGGCGGGGGAGGAAGAGGAGGTGGAGGCGGAGAGGCGGAGGTGGCAGAGGAGATCGTCCACGAACGCTGTCAGAGCGGCTCATCCTGGTCACCGGCCTGCCCCCGCCGCAGGTCCGAAACCCAGGGAGGCCGGAGCGGTGAGTGCAGTGGCCGTGCCGCGGGGAGGTGGCCCTGCGGGAGGCTGTGGCGGGACCACCAGAACAGGAAGTACGAGAAAAGTGCGCATGGACCGTACCAAGTTTGGACTCTCCTCAGGCCCCGCTCCAACGCGGTGGGGTGCACAGTGTCTCGGATCAGATGGCCAAGAAGCTAATGCACCGCATCGTTCCTGAGTCGAGGATCGAGGACGCCTCGGGAGACGTCGACGCGGTAAGGTGCACACTTTTTTCCTAAGCGGCGAGGCGGCGAAATCCGCACCAGCCTAACAGCTCGGTAGGGGCACTCACTAGCGAAGTGGCCGGCGTACAAGGCGGGAGGGGGGGAGGCCGACGAGAGGCACAGGGACGCTCAGACGCCGACGACGTCGACGAGCAGCCGGCGGGCGGCAGGTACGGTACACACGAGTCGTCCGCGAAGAGAAGCTCGGCAGCAGGGGGAGGGCCGGACCGGAGCGGGGGGTCCTGCGGTCCTCTGCAGCTGGGGGGCGGCGGGCACACGCGAGGGCCGAGGCCGGGTGAGAGCAAGGAGCGAGGGAGAGGAGGAGCGGGGCGAGGAAGAGGAGAGCATGCGAGGAGAAAGACCACGCCGACGACGCTCAAAACTGAATACGCGAAATACCATATTCTGTGTTGTCAGCCCCTGCTGCAACCTCCGAAAAAAGCGTGAGCTGTAGCATCATTGGAACGAGGAGGATACGGGACGAGGAGAAAGAAGGGAGGCCAGGGAGGCGGCGGGGGGGAATGGAAAGAGTTGAAGAGGGCGGGGAGGAGGGAAACGAGGAGGGGGAACGAGACGACGAGGGGGAGAAGGGGGGATGAAAGGAAACGAAGGGGAGAAGGAGGGGGAGGAGAGGAGGAGGAGGACTAGGAGGAAGAGGAGGAGGAGGAGGAGGACGACGACGACGACGGCGAAAACGATGTGTTGCCGCGCTGGGCCACGGTCAAGCCGTTCGATCCGGCTGCGCCGCCGCGCGATCGGCGGCGTCTGCCAGAGCGAGGAGCGCCGAGGCCGCCTTCCTGCAGTAGAACGCGCGATGCAGGCCTGGCACGCCCTGCAGCTTCGCCACCACTCGCTCCTCGAGGGGGGTGGAGGGGAGAGGCCCCCACGAGGCACCCAGGAAGCCTTCAGAAAGTCCGCAGGAGGCCCCAAGAGGCCCAGAATGGGTGTTCCAAAACTGTTTAGGTGGAGGGGTAGCGGCATGCGGGCGAAGCCACTGTGACCTTCGGTGGAGCTCCTTATGGGGCCGGGGACTGGCGGCATGTGGACGCAAGAACTTGGGACTTAGGTGGAGCTCCCTGTGGGAGCGCGAAATGTACGAGGGGTGTGCCAAAGTGAGGGGGTGGCAGCATGCGGGCGGGTGCCGGCCCGCGCTGCGCGCTACATGCGCAGACGGTCTTGGAAACTATTGGGGGTATCTTAGGTCTTGGAGGCCTGTAGGGGTTTCTTGGGGGCCTGGGGGGACGTTTGGGTGGCCTTCAAGGGGCCTCTTGAACGCCTCTTGGAGGCTCTTCGGGGCCTCTTGGGGGCGTCCCAGGGGTTATGGGAGCCTCCTGGGAGCTTCTTGGAGGCGCCCTGGGGCCCCCTGGGGGCCTGGGGGCCCCTTCGGGGCCTCCTGGAAGCCTCCTGGGGCCTCCTGGCGCAGCGGAGCCCTCGCGAGCGCCAGCGGCAGCGGTGAACACAGCGCTCGATCTGTCGCCGCCCCGGGCGTCTGCCCCCCCCGCCCCGTCGCGCAGAGATCAAAGCGACACTGGTGCTGGCGTCGCTCACTGACGCGACGGCGCACTCTGGAAAAGAGGTCGGCGTGCGCAGAGACGAACGCGGGTGGAATCCTGGATCCCGGACGAGCCTCTGCCCTCAGTCTTCCTCCCACCACAAACACCACGTCTCCCCCACTCCTATCCTCCGCCACCTTCGGGACCGCCCTCAAGATCACTCCCCGCGCCCGGGTTCCCGTGGGGCGGCGGAAGCGCCGCGGAGGCCCGCCGCGAGAGGCGCCCGAGAGGGCGCGGCCGGCGACGAGCGAGGGGAGAGCAGAGTGGAGAGCGGGGAAAGGGAGGGCGAGGAGGCGGCATCCCGCGGGCTGATGCCATAAAACATGGGATCTCAGCCTGAGCTAAAAGCGACACTGGTGCTGGCGTCGCTCACTGACGCAACGGCGCACTCTGGAAAAGAGGTCGGCGTGCGCAGAGACGAGGGCGGGTGGAATCCTGGATCCTAGACGAGCCTCTGCCCTCAGTCTTAATCCCACCACAAACACCACGTCTCCCCCACTCCTATCCTCCGCCACCTTCGGGACCGCCCTCAAGATCACTCCCCGCGCCCGGGTTCCCGTGGGGCGGCGGAAGCGCCGCAGAGGCCCGCCGCGAGAGGCGCCCGAGAGGGCGCGGCCGGCGACGAGCGAGGGGAGAGGAGAGTGGAGAGCGGGGAAAGGGAGGGCGAGCAGGCGGCATCCCGCGGGCTGATGTCATAAAACATGGGATCTCAGCCTGAGCTAAAAGCGACACTGGTGCTGGCGTCGCTCACTGACGCAACGGCGCACTCTGGAAAAGAGGTCGGCGTGCGCAGAGACGAACGCGGGTTGAATCCTGGATCCCGGACGAGCCTCTGCCCTCAGTCTTCCTCCCACCACAAACACCACGTCTCCCCCACTCCTATCCTCCGCCACCTTCGGGACCGCCCTCAAGATCACTCCCCGCGCCCGGGTTCCCGTGGGGCGGCGGAAGCGCCGCAGAGGCCCGCCGCGAGAGGCGCCCGAGAGGGCGCGGCCGGCGACGAGCGAGGGGAGAGCAGAGTGGAGAGCGGGGAAAGGGAGGGCGAGGAGGCGGCATCCCGCGGGCTGATGTCATAAAACATGGGATCTCAGCCTGAGCTAAAAGCGACACTGGTGCTGGCGTCGCTCACTGACGCAACGGCGCACTCTGGAAAAGAGGTCGGCGTGCGCAGAGACGAACGCGGGTGGAATCCTGGATCCCGGACGAGCCTCTGCCCTCAGTCTTCCTCCCACCACAAACACCACGTCTCCCCCACTCCTATCCTCCGCCACCTTCGGGACCGCCCTCAAGATCACTCCCCGCGCCCGGGTTCCCGTGGGGCGGCGGAAGCGCCGCGGAGGCCCGCCGCGAGAGGCGCCCGAGAGGGCGCGGCCGGCGACGAGCGAGGGGAGAGCAGAGTGGAGAGCGGGGAAAGGGAGGGCGAGGAGGCGGCATCCCGCGGGCTGATGTCTTAAAACATGGGATCTCAGCCCGAGCTAAAAGCGACACTGGTGCTGGCGTCGTTCGCACAGAGCCGGAAGCGGGTCGAATTCAGGAGCCCCGCCAAGGAGGTGCGCCTCGCGCGGTCTGGCCTCACGACTCAGGAAGCGTGACCTCAGCCCGAGCGGAAACCGGCAGTCGGTCCTGGGGCCGCTCACCACCGCAACGGTGCACTCTCGCAAAGAGGTCGGTGCGTGCGCAGCGATCTGGGCACCTGCGAAGATCCGTCGCCTCATCCGCACACGTGCCCTCCCGCTATGCCATGCCAGCTTCCCTCTGAGATGCGGTACGCCCAGGATTGTGTCGGGTTCTCCTTGGCGCACTTCAAGCACTGCGTGAGTTTCCCTGAGCACCTGTTCTGCGCAAGGCCAAGCACTGCGCAACTGCTGGAAGGGTCACTCCCCCCGTCATTCTTACAACAATGCCCACCACTAGCCACGGCTCCCGTGGCACGGAAATGATATGAACAATACTGGTAACCGCAATCTGGACACTCATTGACACGGACTTTTCCGTCGGTGGAAGTGCAATTGATCCTTGCTGGTTTGTTTACTCAGCACTGGCCACTTGTTGCAGCGCCGCCCACATCAGCGAAGCCCTTCACGGCGACCACCCCTGCTTCGGCCACGTTCTTATAATCCACGGCTGCGGCTGCGGCTGCAGCCATTGCTTCTGCGGCCAACGAGCTGCTGGTACAATTGCGTGAGATTTCGACAACGATGAACTCGAACTGAAACCTTCAATCTGTAAACGAAAAATGGCTTGAGCCTACTTGGCTACGGATTCCTGGGAGGGAGGCCTCTCGAGGGCCTCTAGGGTGTTTTTGTTTGCATCTTGTGAGCTTTCGGGGGGCATCTTGGGGTCTCTTGGGGGCGATATTCAGGCGTCAGCAACATATAGGAGATGAAGAGGCGAGAAATCAAAATCAGAGATTTCCCTTCCGGCTTTTGACAGGTTCTGGCTTCTCCCGGAGGCGTCCTGGAGGGTCTCTCGGAGCTCTCTGGGGCTGCCTTGAGCGTCTCGGGAAGCGTCTTGAGTCTCCAAAGGCCTCCTAGATGGGTCCGGGTAGATGGGGTCGGAGGATCTCGCCGCATCGCCGATACATCGCCGATACATCGGCGATGCATCGGCGATGCACTGGCGATGCACTGGCGATGCATCAGCGACGTCTGGAAAAAAGTGGCCCCCACATCAAGCCGCATCGGCGATGCATCGCCGAAGCATCGGCGATGCGGCACGACCCTCAGACCCCAGCTGCTCTGACCCCACCTGGGAGGCCCACGAGCCTCTCGTCGACCGTCAGAAACCCCTGGAGGCCGTCGTGGGGGTGGCTCGGGGCTGCCTCGGGCGGCCCAGACGGCTCGCTGGTGGCCCTCCGGGGTGACCGAAATGCGCGCTGCAGGGCCCCGGCACGCCCGGCACACACAAATGCGGTCGAAGTCGCGGGCCCCGGGGCTCCCGGGCCCGGTGCGCAGCAAGAACGTACCAACACAGATTGATGCTACATCGTGCTCTATATATCGTGTCATCGCGCTCCTCAGCCTGACTGTTTGGCTGTCTGTTGCTGGCGCTTGTGCCCCTAAAGCCCATTTGTAGCCGGCCGTGCAAGAGCGACAAGTACTAGGAGAAATTCAAGACGATAAGGGATGACAAAACCAACCCAAGCGGAAACCCAAACATGTACAAAAGAAAAACATGGTGAGCATCAAAATGCTCACCCCGAATCGTACACCCTGAGAGGCAAACAAGGAGAGGCTGGCCATCCAGAGGGCCCTGGAATTCATGAAGAAGCAGGCCGTCAACAACGTCATGCGAAGGCTGCCCGAGACGCCGTGGCCCCCTCGAGAAACCGCTCGCCGACGTCCGCCGCCAGGCGGGGAGAACCACGACCTGGGGGATGAAACTGGTACATCACGTCCAGTTCATCCAGTGATGGTGTTCCATGTCTTCGAGATATGTATGAAACATAAAGAATCGAACTCTATACACCGACGCTTCTTCCGGAACTGCACTGACATTTGCATCGGAAAACGATTTCTGGAGTATACGGGATCCTGGTATGTATATTTTTCGCTGTTCCACCAGGAAAACGGGGAAGAAAGTATACACCACATCACCCCGACGTGGTCCCCGACCCTCAAAAAAGTCCAGGATTGAAAAAAACGCCCGCCACTGGTAATGTGTACGTTCCAGCTTCCGAGAAAAAGGTCAGTAAGAACCGTTAACGCATGTTGCCTGGTGCTCCCAAGGAGGCGCAGCATCCAGCACTGCTGGGTCAAGCACGCCGTCCCGATCGGGGAGCACGCCTTGCAGAGGGCCTGCGACGCCCTGGCCCAAAAAGCACGAGCTACCGCCTCGCCGCAAACCGTGTAAGAAATACATTGCTAAAGAAAGCGACGTGCTTCGAGAGCTGCATAACCACAATAAAATCAATTGGACGGTCAACCAAAACCCGTCCTTCAAGTGAACAAAAAGTCCGCCAAGGTCAACGCCGACCTCGGCAACTCCCTGCAGAACCACGCTACGCTGGACAAAGAGCTGCGCGTGTGCAAGAACTGGTGGGGCAAGCAGTGAGCAGGTCCGCCAGAATCAACGATGTTGCACGCACACCACGAACAAAAAAACACGTGTCATAACACCTTATGCCAAGGTGCAACGTCTTCCGAATGAAAAAGAAGAGGGCGTAGACGCTGAAACTCACGGGGCACTAATTTCGAGCGGATGCATCGACCCTTCCGTGACAGCCACAGGAGTGGCCTCATAAGGCCACGTGTTTTACGTATACTCCTATTGAGTGGGCCTTTTCCTAGAGCGCGAATAGTTTGTGCTTTACGTATGCGTGTATAGATGGTAAGGCAGAATCGCCGAATGTGTCATACACGAGTAGTGTCGCCTTGCCTGTGAGCGGCCAAGGAACCGTACTATCCAGAAGCTTCCTGTCAGAAGGGAGAAATACAGACTCACGGGCAACAGAAGACAATGAGCGGCAGAACTGCTTGCTAAAACAGAAGAATTTGGTTCATCCTGGGCCGCGAGCCGTGTCTCTGTACAAGGGGGAAATTGTTCCTGATGGTGTATTTCAACACCAGGATGCGACCGACTGGTTCTATATCAATTTAACACGCTGAGCAAACGTAAGATTATCTGAAATGAACCAAAGAAGATCTCTGCTGCCCACGGCAAAGTTGATAACATAGAAGAGCGGGGGAGAGACGCAATCCATGGATGATCTTTTCGGTGCTACAAGCAGTGGACCGAGACGCCGCCCATTCGGCGGGAAAAAAAGGTTATGGAACACGGTCGTGCTTTCCAGCTTGGGTTTGTCACAAAGAAGGAAGATCGGCTGGCTGCTTGCGGGGAAGCCTGCCGCAAGCCGTTTTGATTGTATATCTTTGTGGATCTATGGATGCGGCCCGAAAACAAGTGTAGCTTGAGACCAACAGCACCCAGAGTGTCACATTTGGTTTGCTTGTGCAGGCGTACGTGCATCGCGGCGCATGTCTTCATTGTCATGTATTCGAGATTGTTCACGTGCCTCCAGAACAAGCGTCAGGACATCTGACTACGGCCATAATGATAGCACCATGCTAATGAAAATCCGCCATCGTGCCTTTGGGCACGCAGTGGCACAGGTCCTTTGCCTCATGTCTTGGGGCATGGAGCCCAAATCGCCGAATCTCCCAAGGCTTGGCGCGTGTCCCCCGGGTGTCCCAGCGGATTGTCGCGTGACTTTTTTCGGGTCCAAGAGGGCCCCAGGATGGAACAAGAGGGCCCCAAGAGGCCCCCAAGACGGTCTAAGAGGGACCCAGGGCGCCCAATGATCGCTCCAAGACGCCTAAGATGGTACCAAGACGGCCCAAAGAGGCCTCCGAGACGCCCCAAGGGAGCCACAAGAGCCTTCCCAACAGGGCCCCGAGAAGCCAAAATCATTAGTTGTCCATACGTGTTCTTATGATGTTGGAGTCCTCCTCTTTTCGAGTTCCCGACGCTCCAAGACGGCCCAAAAGGCCCATAGGACCGCCCCGAGACGGCCCAAGGGCCCCATAAGGGCTCCAAGACGGCCCCAGCGGCGCCCAAGGGGATCCGCTTGCAAGACTTTAGACTAGGATCCTGGTGCAGGACTTACACACTCGTCCTTAGTGCGCGGGTGACACAAGAATCCTTTCGTGGGGAATTCCCACCGGATTCCGTGTGCTGGAGATTATTCCGGATGAGCGCATTCCAAATGGAATCCTTGTTGTGCGGCTTTGCAATCGGATTTCGTTTGGGGGTGTCTTACAAAATCGAGCCCTGAGTTTCGGTTTAAACATCATTACCGTGAACAGCAGCAAGAAGACAAACAAACAGATAACACGACCAAACAGAATGACAACGACACATCACGATCAAACCAACAAAAACATAAACACGAGAAGAGGCAACGCAATCAAAGAGCAGAAACGAATGGCGCATCCAGAAGTGAGGTCACCCCGCAAGAGGCAAAGGAGAGGCCTCCTCATTATCATCACCTTCATCATCAGCATCAGTATCATCATCATCATCATCAGCAGCAGCATCAACAGCAGCAGCATCAACAGCAGCAGCAATAATATTACCATGATCCTCCTCATCCCCATCCTCATCATTATCCTCCTCATCAGTCTCATCATCGTCATCCTCATCCTCATCCTCATCAACCTTATCATCATTATCAGCATCATCATTATTATCAGCATCCTCAGCATCAGCATCATCATCCTGCACCTCTTTTCCTTCTAACAAACTCCTCCCTGTCGCATCCTCAGACGTGCTAGTAAAGCGGGCCCGGCGTTTCGCCTGCTTCTTCCTCGCCATCAATGATCCTGAGGCTTGAAAGCTTTGCAACAGTTACACGGACGACGGGGTGAGCAAAATGTGAATCTCGCCTCAGCGCGGCGCACGTTCGTCTCGAACGTTTGCGACAACTTCATGGACGGAGGGTGGACAATTTTCAAGATGGGGCTCTCGCTTCGCGCCGCGCACATTCGCCGGAAAGTTTACAACATGTTCGAGGATGGGCATCGAGTACTTTTCAAAAATAAGGCTCTCCGCTTCCCGCCACGCACAATATTCTTACAAGTTTGCAGCAGATTCCAGGATGGAGGGCACTCTTTTTCAAAATGGGATTATCGCCACATTGCCGCGCTCATCTGTCATAAGCACTCGCAACAGCTTCACGGATGGAGGGCGGTGCCTTTTCCAAATGGGGCTCTCGCCTTAGCGCCGTGGCCAGCAGTTTTACACGGCTTGACGGCTCCTTCTCAGACTCAGAATTTCGCATGGGAGCTCTCCGAACCAGGGACCAGAGACCTGATCAGATGCATCGGCTGCACGGATGGAGGTGGCTCCTTTTCAAAGTGGGGCGCTCGCCTCTGCGCCACGTCCTCTCGTCTGGAAAAGCTTGACGTGTCCCTTTCAAACCTGAGTTGTCGCATGAGACGTCGCTAGACTCTACGACCCGAAGCCTTTTTGGTATGTATCAGCTGCACGGATGGACAGCGCTTCCTTTCCAAAATGGGGCTCTCGCCGGGGACCTCCTCGAAGGCCATGACCAGAAATGTAAACTGCGCAACACTTACACCGATGGGGGGCGGTGGATTTTTCGAGACTGGGACACAACTGGGCACCCTGTGAGCTCTACTAGTACGATCTTACAGTTTCGCACTCGTACAAGGCACTTCCTTTCCAAAAAAGGGGCTCTCGCCGGAATGGCACGCCAGGCGTGCTGGTAGTTCAAGGGGACGCTTCTTACAGTGTAGTGGGAGGCTTGTAGGAGCTCATTGACGCGGGGATTCGGGGTGGGAGAGTGCATTGCAAGGGGATCTGCAGCGGTGAGTTGGGGATTTGCATTGACGCGGGACATTGAGCGGGAAATGGGGGAAAAAAGAGGCTATTTCAAGGGGAGTTTGGGCGGGAGAGTACATTAAAGAATCGTTGATGCATCTTGGGTATACTCCGATCCTTCTCTTTCACCTGCTGCTCCCTCTTCTCATCTCTTTGTCCCCCACGTGTTCTTCCAAGGGTTTCCACAACGGCTCGGGGAAGGCAGCGCCCAATATCTTGGCAAGACTTCGGCCTGACGCTTGGCCACATGGGCATTTCAAAGAGGCAAGGGCGGCGCTGTTCGATACAATGACCCCTGATGTGATTGAACTTATGGGCAAGAAAAGCGCCTGAGGGTGTAACGGAACGGCCCGACGATGGACGCCATCTTCTGCACGCCCTGTGCGGAGCCCATGTGCCACGGCAGGCGCGATGTGCTGTCCTGAGTGGTCTGGTGCACTGAGTGTCTGGCAAAGCTGAACACCATCGTGACACTGCCAGGGGGACGTAAGACCTGGGTACAGGGGACTCGGAAATCCCCGACGAGGTCGTCAAAAAAATGACAAGGCCGAGCCTGCATTTTGACGAGGCCTCCCGCTGCAGACATCCCACGAAACTCCTCCTCATCAAAATCCGAGGCGCGGTCGTCAAAAAACGATGGCGAACCCGAGTCCTGGCAAACCCGGGTCTTACGCTCCCCCGAACTGAGTGTCTGGCAAAGCTGAACACCATCGTGACACTGGTCTTGAACGATGGGAGGGACGAGGGGGAGGGCCGAGGGGCGCCGGGGGCGTCTGCCCGCACTCCTCGAGGGCCCGGAGCGCCTCCTGCGCCGGGAGCAGCTCCCGGTTCGCCCACACGTCCTTGGGATCGTGCAGCGCCGCGAGCTCTGGCCTGACCACGAAGACGTTGGTGCTGAGGGCGATCTCTCTGGCGCAGGATGCTCCGCGGAGCGCCCCCTGCGGCGTCCTCTGGGGAGCCCGAACAGCCTGTCTTGCCTCCGACTTGGCCCACTCCAGAAACGCTTGAGCTAGAATTGTGTTGTTCCCATCCTACTTGAGGACCACATCCCAGAAATAATTTCGAGCACCTGGAAAAGTGTCAAAAGAGTGTCGAAAGAGTGTCGAAACAGTGTCGGGCGAGTGTCTCCCAGGGCCCGGCACGTGAAAACCCTTGAGTTTCGGTACTTTTTGGGGCGCTCGAAATTCTTCCTGGTGATCCAGGCGAAAGTAGGTTGGAGCATCGTAAAGCTGGAGAAAATGCCACCTCCCAGGAGAGATCCTTTCTTCGCCGGTTTCCGCAGTGGCCTTCCGCCGGCGGAGACCTCCCTCAGTTCAAGGCATCCCGCCGCCGCACGCCGAGGAAAAGCTAACAATTGTCGGAAGCCGGGCAAAGGCTGCGAAATCCGTGGCTGCTAAAATCGACCTCCGGGAAGTTGTCTTCGTCCTTCCGGGAAGAAGCCCGTTGACTGTTTCGCGCGCCGCGCCTCATTCCGGAAGTCTTTTCTCCTTCCGGGAGGGCCGTTTTAGCAGCCACGGTTTTAGCAGCTCTCGCCCAGCTTTCGAAATTGATCCATCCTTCGAGCGAGAGGCCTTTCTGGACGCCCACTGCGTCAGCACACGCTTCAGAAGAAATATCGCGCAACCTTCTGCCCCCCCTCTTCCCTCGCGATGACGGTCCCACCCGACGGGCGCGGCGGGCAACTCGCATGCGCGGCAGCATCGTGGCGGGGCCCCGGCAGCGGATGCGCTGGCCGAGGCTGCAGGCGAGGCGGGCGGTGAGGTGCGCACGCACCGCGGCGCGGGGAGCTGCAGCATTGGAGGCCTCTCAACTGGGGTCGGGGGATCGCTCCGCATCCCCGATACATCCTCGATGCATCGGCGACGCCTGCGCTGCATCGGCGCCGTCGGCATAGAGAAAATCGCAGGGTGTTCGCATTCAACCCGGAGATGTTACCGGCGCGGGTCAGCGCAGGTCAGCGCAGGTCAGCGCGGATCCGCGCAGATCAGCGCAGGTCAGCGCAGGTCACGCGCTCCTCAGAAGCGCTGGTCAGCGCAGGACAGCACAGGTCAGCGCGGGTCAGCGCAGGTCAGCGCAGGTCAACGGGGTCAGCGCAGGTCAGGCCAGTCAGCGCAGGTCAGCGCAGGTCAGCGCAGGTCAGCGCAGGTCAGGCCAGTCAGCGCAGGTCAGCGCAGGTCAGCGCAGGTCAGCGCAGCTCAGATTGTGCCCTGTCCTCCCTGTCCGAGACCCGTGCCGTCCTGCGTCGTTCTGTGAGGACCTGCGCTGACCTGCGCTGACTTGCGCTGACTTGTGCTGACCTGATCCACAGAGGTCCCGGGACGTTTCACAGAGGCCTCTACTACTACTACTACTACTACTGCTACTGCTACTGCTACTGCTACTACTACTGCTACTACTACTACTACTACTACTACTACTACTACTACTACTACTACTACTACTACTACTACTACTACTACTACTACTACTACTACTACTACTACTACTACTACTACTACTACTACTACTACTACTACTACTACTACTACTACTACTACTACTACTACTACTACTACTACTACTACTACTACTACTACTACTACTACTACTACTACGACTACGACTACGACTACGACTACGACTACGACTACGACTACTACGACTACTACTACTACTACGACTACGACTACTACTACTACTACTACTACTACTACTACTGCTACTGCTACTACTACTACTACTACTACTACTACTACTACTACTACTACTACTACTACTACTACTACGACTACTACTACTACTACTACTACTACTACTACTACTACTACTACTACTACTACTACTACTACTACTACTACTACTACTACTACTACTACTACTACTACTACTACTACTACTACTACTACTACTACTACTACTACTACTACTACTACTACTACTACTACTACTACTACTACTACTACTACTACTACTACTACTACTACTACTACTACTACTACTACTAACTACTACTACTACTACTACTACTACTACTACTACTACTACTACTACTACTACTACTAGTACTACGATTATCGGTGCTACTGTGCCCCTGTTACTGCTGTTGCTACTGCTATTATTAGTACTAAAGCTATCATTATTTGTAGTGTTATGTTTGTTATCAGCACGAGTTGATTATTCCTAAAACTCACATGCCTACAACCCTCCCCGTGCGCTATCCGACCAATCCGGTGGTCTCCATCCTGATACAGTCGACGTCGTTCTCCTCGACATTGCCTCTCTCGTCGTCGGCAATGCGAATTGCGTATCAGGAAAACGACGTGGCGCACATCGCGCGCGGCCGCCGGGCAATCATACGCGGGGCCTCGCGGCCCCGGGGAGCGGAAACCGTCTGTGGTTCCCTCCGTGTATCCCGCGATCCTGGACACCGTCCTCCCGTCTCTTTCTGCGCTGCTATTTTGGCTCCGTGGCCAGCGCTGGCTCCGCCCCGCACGCCTCCGCCGGAGCGTGGTGCTTTCCGCGCCGTGGCAGCCCAGGGGCGGCCGTTCCGGTGCGCCTTCTCTTCATTATTATTTTCCTCCTCCTCCTCCTCCTCCTCCTCCTCCTCCTCCTCCTCCTCCTCCTCCTCCTCCTCCTCCTCCTCCTCCTCCTCCTCCTCCTCCTCCTCCTCCTCCTCCTCCTCCGCCAAGCTCCTTGGACGCGCCAAGGCGCCGCCGCTGCCGCGGGTTTTGCTCCAGCATGTCGTGCCCCTGCACGCCTCGGTCGCCCCCGTGCCGAGCCACTGAGTGGCCCGACACGCCAGAGCGGTGGGCCGACTGCCCATTGGAGGTCGCGTTGTCGCCTGTTCAGCCGGCGAGACCGCCAGGGCTCTGGTTAGTGTGGTGCGCGGGCAGCCGGCGCCGTGGTCCTGGTTGGTACTGGTGCCCGGCGCCTGGAGATCCTGGACGCGCTCCTGGCTGTGGCAATCAAGCCAGGAACGCTCGCCGTGCCGCTCAGCGCAGTCGCGCAGCGGCAGAGCCAGTACCACTCGGCAGGTCCAGGGCACGTACTTGGTAGGGAGCTCCGCTGGGGCGGAGCGCGCGGGAGCGGCGCGGAGGGGCCGCGCTGGATGCATCAATGCATCATCATACTGTTCCGCGCGGGGGCCGCGCGGGGTGCTGTCAAGCAGGAAGAACCGCCCGCGCGCGCGTCCACGCTTCCTTTTTGCATTCATTATCAGGGTTTACGCAAGCAGGTCCAGTGGATCTCATCGAATGTCCGCGGCGCCAAGGCAAGAGCCCTATACTGGTTTGTGAGGATGGCTTCCAGTGTTCGTCTGTAAATTCCGTCACCGTGCTTGGGTTGTGGGTCACAGTCCTCGCTCATGCTTCGGAGCGTCCTCGGGGTGGGAGCTTCTGGAGCTCTCTGAGGTTTCCTCGCCCCCGGGCGCTTTCCAGCAGCTGCGCCTCGCCGAGAGCGCTTTTGGGGTGCCCAAGCCGTCTCGAACCGCCGCCTGAGGCCCGAGTTGTGGCTTGAAAACCATTCGGAACTGAGGAAGTGGGGGAGACGGAGGAGGAGGAGGAGGAAGAGGAGAACCAGAGAGAACTCAGGATGCATCAGCGATGTTGCTATACACCCTTCCGTGCCATGTCCCTTCCCCGTAAGTCTATGCAAGCATTCTCTTTCACACCTGGACACGCGCCCTTGAAGGATTGGCGCTCCATTGGCCTGACAGGCGCCCCATGGGCCTGACGTTGATGACAAATCGCGCGCGCATTAATATTTTTTGAAAACCTATATGAGGGCTCGAACCGAGGCCGAAGAAGTCGAAAACGCACTGGTAAGCCAAGATATATGTTCCGCCTTAGGCGCTCCCATATCCCAGGCTTTGGCTCATACCGCATGAGCAAGAGAGCAAGATGAAGCATGGGATCTGGAGTAAAGGATAGAAGGGGCATCTTCAATAGAAAGGTCTTTTCCGATCTCAGATGCGAGTAGTGCGCCTCGGTGAGGCACAATCACATGTTCGGCCGGGCCCGGCTTGAGCCAGGCACGGCAGCGGTGCATGCTCGATTTACATCTCGCCTTTAACCCTCTCCGTTTAAAGTTGGAGGGGGAGGAGACGAGCAAGCACCGAATTTCTACATTACGCGGAAAAAACAGTGCTAGGCAACAGCGGCTGCCTACAAGGCAAGGGCGCGCGAGTAGCCTCGCTACCGGCGAGTTTCCTCGCTACTAAAGCGCACCTGCGCGCGGGTTTCCCCGCTAGCTCGGGAGGCAGGGCCGTCCTGAGACGACCTGCCCGCCCTATACGGAGTATGTTTCTTCAGCTCGTGCTTGAAGGATTGCTGACCGGCCATTACCTGTAGGAGCAACGCGCGGTCAATACTACCTTTGGTATGACCATCGGCAGTCATATCCCGCGTGTCACACCATTGGACGCTTTCAACGATTCCGCGCTCCATCATCTGGCGGATCCAGCTGATGTGCCCAAGCAGAGTGCATTCTGCGGGCTTCTTCAGATCTTTGCTAGACAAAGACTTGAAGACAGACTCGGCATCAATAGTCAGAGTGACTTTGATACATAGACCACCCAGTTCCAATATGTTCTTCAACTGTGTGGGGGTCAATGGTCCCGAGTGTAGCTCGTGGAGCGTTACAATGGTCGGGTAGCAGTCTTCCAAGTTGTGGGCTGCTGCCAGTGTTTCCGCAGAGTAGCTCGAACGCACCTGCAGTCGATGAGACTTGCAGTATGCGTCCACCAGGTGCACGACGGGTTTCCCCGCTTGCGTGTGGCCACGCCTCAGCAGGTTAGCCCCGCGGATACCGTAGCCTTTGACTTCGTCGTCTTCATCTCCGTTGAGACGACGATAGCCAGAATCGCTATGCAGGTCGACCTCTCCTGTTGGAGTCATAGCTTGATACACGATCTTCTTCGGACCTGCCTGCAATTTCCTGGTAACCGCGTTCAGTCGTCGTACCTGGATGTTTGTCGGTTCCTGGATACGTTGCAGTGAAACAACATAGACCATCAGCCATACCTGCGTGATCAACGCATAGGCTAGAGCGCCACGAAGACTGACGAACATATCAGAAATCGTCTTTGTCGCTTTGCTCTCAGGATCAGCGCCTGTGAGCTCTGGATGTGTGATAGGACGAAGTTGTTTGATGTATTCGTCCTGATCAAGAGTGACGCTCCCATCATCGGTCTTGTTGTACCGAACGGCACAATTTGTGTATGTGTGCTTGTTCAGTTTGCACTTTCCAAACGTATCTTCAACACATTTGACGTACTTCTCAATGGAATCTTCCTTCCCAGTCATGTTGATGTCATCAACGTGTTTGGCTGTCAAGAGGCTTGAACTCATCTCGAACTCTTCATCGTATGAAGTAGGCTGTAGTCCAAAGCTCCTGGTGATGGACCCGAGCTTCAGCGAGAATGCCCTGGGAGCATCCTTCGTGCCAGTCCCCGGCTTGAGGCACCGAAGACAATGCTTTGATTCGTCATATGACTCAAAGCCTGGCAACGTGCGAAGGACAGCTGCTGACCCAGGAGGTAGTGCGAAGCACACCACACGCTCTTTCTCGCCAGTTGCCGCGGCGAGCTCGCCATAGGTCAGTCCCTTCAAGAAAGCCATGTTGATGTCCAGGGAAGCGATGATCCAAGCTTTGTTGCATGCAGCAGAACTTGCGAGCAATCTCTGGTTTGACCTCCTTGCCGTGCCAGAGAAGGTTTCGACATCGAAGGCTTCAATGTCCATGAAGCCACAAAGTACCAAGCGTAACCTGATCGTCCGTTCCATTTCGCCCTTCTCGTTCTTGACAAACTTCCATTTGTATACATAGCGTGAAGTCATGATGTTCGACGCTTTGCTCAAGTCAGTCATCTGGAAGCATTTGTTGTCAAGCCAAGTCTTCAATTCTGTGTAAAGGGCTTTGGAAACTTTGACCGGATTCGCTTGAATGTCGGCCTTCGTGAGTAGGTCGTCTTCTTTGACGACCACGGCACGTTTGGAGGCAGCACTAACATATACTCGCATAGTTGTGACGCTGCTGTCATCCAACAATCGGCGTTGCTGCTCGGACAGGACGACTTTGGACATGTCTGCTGTGAAGCAAAGCTCGATGTACTTCCCGTGCTCGTCGGAGTCCAGATCATAGTGGCTGTCCGGATCAGTGGAGCACAGAGGGACGTAGTAAGAGGTGTCCATGTCGTATCCTGGCGGGTGACCCCGCACCGGCAAGTGGCCTTGCACATCTTCACAGGTCGTAGAGACCAACACGCACTGTGAGTCTGTCATGTATGTCGGAACTGTGTGCATGACTTCTTCTGTGTCAGCTTCAAGGAGTGTTCTGTCATCCATCAGTTCAGCATACCATGACTCCAAGACAAAGACATCCAGATCCTCTTCTGTTTCCTCTATGATGGTCGGGAGCCGACCATCATTCGCCGCAGGAGGCTGCTCAGGAGCAGCTGCTGGAGGTGGCTCGCTTGGTGGTGAACCATCAGCGAGTTCCTCAAACTTAGTGAGGTCTCGGTCGAATCCAGCAAGCGGCTTCTTGGATTTAAGACACTGGATGATGCGTGAATGTGTAGACCCTGTGATGTCGTAGATGTTCAAGGCAGTGCCATCAGCTTCATAATAATGAAAGCCAGGGGTCACATCGTTATCATAGTGCACTAGTGTACAGCTGTCTGCATATGGCGCAGCAGGCAACTTAGTCAGGCTCTTAGCAAGTCGTACAGCAACCACGTTTTCAATGCGAAAATAGTTGCGAATGAGATATTGAAGAGCCAAGTGCACCTTAGGCGAAAGCCGGCTTGCAGCAGTCATCTGCAGTCGGCCCTGTTTCGCTGGTAGGTATCCGAAAGTCATAGCGGGTTTCCCCGCTGGCAGACCGGCAATAAAGGCCAATACTGTCCGAAGGGCCGTATTGTCCGATCCTATCTCGCGGACCATCAGTGCTTCGATGTACAGCGTATGTCGTGTGTCAGGATACTGTACTCGCACTTCGCGACTTGCCGACCTTCACGATGACCTGGCCTCGGTCAGGTTCGTTGCGGATGACCGGGTATGGACCACTCCATCCACCCCAGTCGTCTTTCGTGGTGGTCGGGCGATGATAGTCCACGAGATCTCCCTCTTTGTAGTGAAATTCACCCGTAGCAGTAGTCTTCGTACGAAGAGCCCTGTTCGTCTTGGCAACCGCAGTGGCCTGCGTGATTGCCTCCAGACTAACCCTCCTGATTGTCTCTTCCTTTGAGTGATCTGATGATTCAGCGGACTGATCATGATCCAGGACAGGGAAATCGGGAAGCATAGCTGGTTGTCTGCCATACAGCGCATTATACGGAGACACTTCGTTGTAGAAGGTAAATGCGTTGCTGGCAAACAAGGCTTCATGTAAGAGACGAGTGAAATTCAGAGGGATGTTCAATCTATTCAGTTCTTCTCCCATCACGTGTATGAGGTGTCGCAGGATGCCGTTCCTAGCTTCGATAGTCGTGGCGTGCTGGCCACGCGCTCGGATACGAAGCCCTGTTCCCTTGGATTTAAGGATGGCCTTTGCTGTATCGTTATTCAGCGCTCCTTCCCCATCGGAGTATAGGATCTTAGCAGGGCCATGTTGCATCCAAGTTGTGTGATAGGCATCGAGAACAGCGTGCATAGTCTCATCAGGAATCTCTGTGCCAGCTGCCCAGCGAATACAACGGTCGATGATGTGAAAGACAATGTGTTCCTGTTTGTAAAAGAAAAGATCACATTCGACTTCCTCGTTGAAACGTCCTGGCAGTGACACAGAAGGCATCACCGTGTTGCCTGGTTTCTCCCAGGCACGACATTCTCTACACGAGTCGCAAATGCCTTTGATCAGACTCAAACGGGTTTCACCCAGACCAACCTTAGCTAGAATCATCCGCATCTTTGGTTCGTTGGCATGAAACCATCTCAAGTGAAGCTTGCGGAGTTCTCGCTGCACTACAGCTGGGTCAAAGCTGAGCAGGTTTTGAAGGCTGAGCTGAACGTCGAAGCGAGTCCAATCAGGAAGCCTTGGCCTTGGCCTCGGCTCTGCATGAGGCTGCGGCGGCGGTGGAGGATCACCTCCCTCCATGCGTCCGCGCCTCGCTGCCACTTGCGGCAGTCTGCGGTGATCGTCAGAGCTGCCAGCGCCAGTGGTGTCACCATAAGCCCCCTTGGCCTTGGTGATGTCATGGCTGCTGGCGCCTGCGGTTGGATCGCCCTCACCAGGCCGTGGCGGCCTAGGCGCGCGTATGCGCGCTTTCGCGGCCGGCGCCGCGTTTGCGGCTGGAGCCGCTTCCGCGGCTGGCGCCGCAGGAGCGGCTTGCCCCGCTGGGCGCGGCTGACCAAAGTTATCTGGCAGCTTCCATTTTTCGGCGAATCTGCATTGGCCAGATATCTTGGCATGGTGAGGATTGCTCTTCTGATATTCCTTCTTACAGCTTGGACAGTCCCAATAATATGGTTCAACATCATACCATCGACACATCTTCGGATTCCTGCTGTGCCTTGGTGATTGTTTGTAGTTGTTGTCTGCGCAGCCAGGGCACCCGAGACCGCCAGATGGTGGTCGCAGGATTTCTCCGTTTGAGTGTCTCTGGATTGTTGGGTCGTCCAAGTCGTAGCCAGCACTGTTTGTTACGAACGCGTAACTGCGTTCGCGATTCGCAAATGGATCGCGACCGTAAGCAAACAGATCTTTGGCGATTTGCACCGCATCAACGATCAGTGACTGCATTCTGTAGGTATACTGTGCCGCCCTTGCTAGTTCTTTGTTGCAAGCATTGGCGTGCACATGATTACCTGGACAACGCTTGCCTCTGAAAGGTGCCAACAACTCTTCTTTGTTTGCCATCATCTGTGTTGGCTTGCGAATGTATTGTCCAAACGAATCTTTGAGACCAGTCGTGCATTGATCAATAATCGTTTGGCAAGTGACCTTGCGTTGTGCCAGTTCCTTCCATGGTTGGATCTCATCTACCCACGTGCCCATTGGTTGTTCCCTGAGAAAGAAACGTCTTAGGTCGTCTTGTAATAGAGCGACTGTTCCGCAGAACGTGATGTGAGGCAGGTCCTCTTTGTGGTGTTTAAGCCACGTATCATGATTGACCTGTGCATTGAAGTATGAAGGAAGTCCAGTAGTTCTGCAGCTTGGCTGCAAAATCGTGATCTTGACAAAGCAAGTCTTGAGGTAGTGAAGGACTGCTCTTTGTACTTCCGAGTTTCCAAGGTCAACCATAGATATCTTATCAAGGTTCCCGCCCGACGAGAGTCCCCTCTTGAAGGCTAATATGGATATACCACCCTTGCCCCCACATAATTCAAGCATGTCCACTTGATTGTTTCTGCCGTAGCATAGTGACTGGACCACCGAGAAGACATCAGCATGTGAGTCAGCGGGTTGCCCCGCCGGTAGCATCGCGAAGATGTCCTCTGATTCGCTGTCCGAGTCCGAGTCATCAAGAGGAACGTCGTTGAAATATGTGGAGCAGTCAAGCCCTTTGAGGCCCTCTCCACAATCGTCGTTACCGTCTTCCACTTTCTTCGGGATTTTCTTCGGTTCGATGCCAGCCTCTTTGTCAGCTTTCTGCTTTTCTTTCTGTTTTATCCTGGCATCAGTGGGCAGCGCGGTTTCCGCGGAGAGATCCGCTGCGGAAGGATCCGCTGTTAGATCAGGAAATGGCGGAATTTCAGAAAAGTTGGTGGGTCGCGTTTGGCAACGCTCAATCGAAGGGGGAGGAGACCGATCGTCATCGACGATCGTCACACGCTTTGGGCGTGGCCTTCGCGACTCACCGTCGCCGTGAAGGACTGGAGCCGGAGGCTCCCAGTACAACCGAGTACTGATGTTTGTAACCCCATCAGGTAATGGAGCTACATAATTGCACCCAGTCGGCTGATCCTGGATTTTGATATCTTGAACGATCTTATTCGCGTCCAGGTCGGTCGTGACTCTACGAACAACATGGTCCCATTGAGGGCCCTTTTGTGGACATTGAACGTAGTGTCTTACCTTTTTGTCAACGCGCGTACACACACTGAGGTGTACCGCGCTCCGCTCATTCCTAATCATGTTGGCTTTATTGAGTTGATCAAGGAAGCGTGCAGTGATGATAGCCAAGGTTTTATGCCGGAACTCGGCACGTTGCTGATCTTGGCCATACCAATCCAAATCATGTTCTCTGTGTGAGCCACAAGTACATCTCCATAAGTTTAGCGGTATATGAGGACAAGATGTAGCAACTTGTATATAAGAACCACTGGGATATTTACTGGAGCGATCAAACTTGATACCGAAATGACAAAGTCTCATTCGTATGATGCTAAGCTTCAAATCTTCGATAACATCTTTGATCGGACCCTGTTTCCAGAAATACCCGGGTGGCCCCACGATGACAATCTGCATTCTCAGAGCACGCGCTTTGATCAGGAGATTTTGTATACGTTGATAGTGGGGTCCCGCCCTCTTTCCTGGAGTACGAACGTACCAATCAGAGGGTGTGGCCACCCACAACATATTATAGTCTCCTGCCAACAAGTTTCCCAAATACTGTGTTCCAGTTGAAGTCATTACCTCATTATGGGTAATCCGGTCACATATATAGCCACGGGTTCGGAGTTCAGCGCAAGCTGTGCGAATATCTTCGATGACGAGACATTTTGAATGATATTTTTCCTCTCGGGCCTCAGCGCGGCCAACGTATGTAGCGAGGAGGCCGGTATTCGGCTTCTCTTCGCAAGCGAGCGCCGCCGGCGCGCCCGCCTGCCCCCGTCAGCGGCTGTCGTGAGACCAAGTTGCCGCTTGACTCGGAGGCGTGCTGTTCGCGGATGGCTCCGCAGGAGTCGCTGGTGTGGCCACGCTCGCAGACAGACTCGGCGGGTTGTTCTCAGAGATGTCAAAGTATTCCGTCCGATCCGTAGCGTGACCCACGATCTCCGCTCTCTCACCTCGCTGGGTGATGGCTTCGAGAGTGTCCATCAGCTCGCGGTTCGTCATCCCGCGGACGTCCTCAGACGACAGCAGGCGGGTTGGCCCCGCAGAGTCCGACGAACCTCCGCCCGTGTAGCTTGGTGGTGGTGGCGGCGACGCGGGTGGCCCCGCTGGATGCAGAGGGGTAAACTCCTCAGGCGTCCATTTGCTCACCGCCTCCTGGACTGCCCAGAAGATCTTGGACTTCAGGGCGGCCTTCATGTGTGGCCGTATAATCGCCGCGTTCTCAGGAGGTGGGTGCCAAGTCCCTTCGGGACACTGTCGGCCCTCCCACCAGCTGTTCAGCGTCCTGTTCACGATCAAACGGGTCGTGTCCTCCAGGAGCTGCTTGTCGATATACGGCTCGACGGTGTACGTATCGGTCGTGAAGGTCGATGTCCAGCTGTTGGTAGATGTACGAACGAAGTCCTCGTGCCTATTCGGATTGGCGAACTGTCCCGTCGCGGGTGGCCCCGCTGACGCGTCAGCGGGTGGCCCCGCAGCGGGTGGACCCGCGGGCGGGGTCCTCTTCGTTCTCCGTCTCGGTGTAGCCATCTCGACTGCTGCGGATCGTGAAGGTGTTCGTGACCGTGTGGCTCTTGGCCCCATCGTACAGCCCGCAGGGAATCGCGAGATGTCCCGAGGGAGTCTTCTTCGCCTTCAGGACCTTGGCGCCTCTTCCCAGCTTCAGGGTGTAGTCGCCGCTGGGGAAGATGACCTTCTGGTAGCCCGGCTTCAACACGATGATCGTATCACGTGCCTCCATGGCCCCTAGGCCCCAGATAGCCGGGAGATTGGCGCCCGAGCCTTCTGCGATGTTGGAGGCATACTCCTCAATGCGGGGGCTCGCCTCGTTGGCGCACTGTACCCCGATCTTGAAGTTGCCCATCTTCCGACATATCGCAGCGCCCTCCCCAACACCATTGATGTAGAGGGTCTTGCTCAGGGTGCAGATGGCAGGTCGGTAAATGAACCTGGCCATTATCTCCTGGAAGGTCCGCGCCGCGTTGGATCCAATGATGTTCACATTAGAACCAATGTCCAGCATGAACGAGATACAGGGCATACCATCTTCATCAGGAAAGAAGGTCCCATTGCGCGCTGCAAGAGCGACCTGTACGCCAGTGTGGTCGTTGGTGTGGTACGTGATCTGCGATCCGAGTGTACCCCTCAACAGGCGCTGTTCAAGAACCCATTGAGTCATGGTCAGCTCGGTGCACCACATCTGCTCGTACTGGCGGCGCTCCTCCACAGTAATCGGTTCCTGCTGGAGGACCCAATAGTTTGCAGATAGCGTGGACATCCATTCGCCTCTAGGTGGCAGCGTGTCAGTATCGTCACGCACGTAGGTCAGCCCCTCTGTGTCGATCATGAATGTGGAATGGAACTGGGCTGCCTCTGCGCTCTCAGCGCTTGCCCGGCTTCTGGCGCTGACCGGGCTTGCCACTCGAGAGGTCCTGGTCGACCCAGTTGGCCTCCGAATCCCGCCTCCGCCCCTGCCACTCCGCCTGATGTTAGCCTCCATGTTCCTCAAGAAACCTGGGTTTGGAGGTCCGTTAGCGGGTGGCCCCGCTTGAGCGGCGGGAGCCGCTTCAGCGGGTGGCCCCGCAGCTGGGGGCTCTTGCGCTCGGAGCGTGGGCAAGACCGGCATCTGAATGCCTTGTTCTGGCGCTGGCCAGGGGTATGCCTGTGCAGCTGGGGCACGTGCGGATGGCTCCGCCGATCGTGCGGCTCGAGCCTCCAGTGCCTCCACTGCTTCGCGTAACCGACGCATCTCGCGGGCATCTGCAACGTACCTCTCCTGCTGGCGCGCTTGGTCCGACTCCGCATCGCGCTGTCCAGCATACGGGAAGTGTGCTATCACTACGCCCGGTCCACGGCATACGGCACAGGGGGCCTCATTCGGCGCACCTGGCCGCTGATTGCGGACATGCTGCTGTGCAACACGGTCCCAGCATATGTCGTGGAAGAAGTGCCCGCACGCCAGTCTCCACACTGTAGTACCCATCTCGTAGTTGTCCATGCAGATTGGGCACTGAGTGAAGTTGTAGTCTGAGATGACTGGAGCAGGCAAGTCAGGGCGAGTCCGAGCTTGGCGCTCGAACGTGGTTTCGCCCTCCCGATATGGCGTCGGTGGCGGCCGCCTTTCTGGCCGTTCAGCAGGTGGCCCCGCTTCCGCGGGTGGCCCCGCTTGGGCCTCGCGCTCAATCCTTCTCTGGATCGCGCGTTGTTGGCGCAGCCTAGTGTTGTCACGAGCCTGCTGCCTGGATGCCAGTATCGCTTGCTGCGTGTTGTGCACGTCGCGGATGTAGTCTGGCATGCTGCCCATAGCGGCTGGCGCCGCGAGACCAGCTGGCTGGACTATGGTCTCGGGGTCCGTCGGCGTGGGCATGTAGGCGTAGTGTGGCATAGACTGCGCATCGACCGCTCGTGTAAACTGCAAACGAAACATATCATTAGCTAAGTTCCGAGTGTATTCGTTCGCAGGTGGCCCCGCAATCATAGGAGTGTCATTTATCTGCGCGTAGTACTCAGGGTACATCGGCGCGTCCATGGCCGGCGCCTCTGCTGGACCGTGATTGTCCCATCCGTATATCGGGTGTGATGTTATTCCTGGAATAAACACCTGTCGATATGGATTCGTGGGATCAGCGTTTGGAGCATCTTCAGAAGTCCAACTCCAGAGAGGTCGGAAGTCGCCATGGCTTGTGACGTCTATGTTGCGGTTCCGCAACAGGCTGGGCACTCTTTCAGCTTGTTGTTGCAGAAAAGTAGCCTGTGCTCTTAAGTTAGCTGCCCGACGTTCGTAGTCTGAACCTTGCTGTCCGTCAGCGGGTGACCCCGCTTGAGCGGGTGGCTCCGCAGGCGTTCGCCAGCGGGTGACCCCGCAGCCGCTCCTCCTTCACTACCCCTCGGAGTGCCAAAGGGAGTGGTTGCTTGGAGTGCTGCCGCGAGTGCTGGATTTCCGCGAATCGCCTGGAGTCTTTGCCACAAGCTGTTCTCGCTCGTTTCAGACGGCGGAGTCCGGAACGGCGAGCCACCATCGGAGCCGCCCATAGGGACAAACCTCGCACCTCCAGCCTGCTGCGGAGGGCGTTGTGGCTGTGGTCCTAGGGCGCCTGGTGGCCCCGCAGGAGTGCGCAGGTTCCTCTGCTGTGCGTCTTGGATACCTGCCTGCACTGCCCACGGGTCAGCACGGTATAGCTGATCGGTCAGTCCAGAAACGTCGGCTGGTGACAGGTAGCTGTTGAGGGCCTGGACCCATGTCTGCTGGTCCGGCCTCCAAGGAGATGCTACTGCGGCTACTGGCGTGACCACTTGCTGCCATGAACCATCCGAGGTGTCTGCCGCGGGTGTCCCCGCTCCTGCGGGTGGCCCCGCCTCAGGCATGACCTCGTCTTCCTGGGCGTTTATCATGAGGACTGTCTGTGTGAGGTACGGTCGTGGAGCAACGTCTTGCTCGGTCATGGTCAGGTTGAATGGGCGACCGCCCGTCTTAGTCCAGCCCTTGTCCATCACACCCAGAACTCTGTTGCACATTTTAAGTGGCAAGTAGTCCTCGGAGCAAATCCTGTCCGCGGGTTGGCCCCGCTTCCGCGATTTGTCGTAAGCCAGCGGATTGCACCAGGCTTCACCGACCCGATATTTTGCAATGCTCACAATCTGAAAGATATGATCGGGCGGTATGCGGCCATTGTGGCCCCGTGTCATGACGATGTCATTCGCTGACCTCCATAAAGAGAAGCCGCTGGACAACATCTTGCTGATGCTGCAGAAGATGAGCACCTCAGAGTCAGGACGGATGCCCGACTGAATCCTCGGGTCACCCGGGAGGTAGGGGCAGCCGTGAACGAACTGGCGCCCCCCCTGCCCCTTAGGGTTGTCCTGTGTGAGGCATGAAAGGCCATTCTCAAGGATGCCCTTAACATGCTCCCACTGTGTCCCGTGGATAAAGTATACTGGGTCATCTGGTTCCTTCATCCATGTCGTGATGGGCTTATAGAGCGACTCTGGGCAGTGGATGCCTGGGCTGCTATGGCCGTTCGTGGCTCTGATGAAATATTGTGGCCTGTGTGCCTTTGGTCGGAATCTGGGAGGTAGCGTCATGCTATCCTCGACGCATTTCATCTGGAGCCTGCCCTTCTGCATGCCATGGTTGTCGATCATCTCGCAGCAGTTCAGCAACACCCAATACACGTATGAGCTGTGAGGGTTGCCCTTGATAATCACATCGTGCATGTCCTGGTAGCCGTTCCACTGATTGTCACCAGTCCAATTTGCCAGCAAGTCGTCAACAACAACCCAGCCATCGTATGGATCGAAAGTGTCAATCTTTTCGAAGTATCGGCTGAATCCATCTTTCCAATACGGACCATGGCGTAGGGCTGTAGAGAACCACATTGACACCTTGGCCATTTGCCAATCGCGCGGCAGAGTCGGATATGTGTTGAACCTCTTCATGACATTCATGAGCTCTGCCTTGTGCTGCGCGACGCGCAATGGCGGCCTGCCCCGCAACATATTGCCCACGACTTGTTGTTCACGTTCCCATTCGTTACGGCACTCGAAGTTACGACGATCGGGGCAATCGATGACCGCGTATCGATCTGTATCATCTCGAGTGACTCGTGGGTTTATGGTGCGTTTCGGGCCTTTGCCTTCAATGCCTTGCCAATATTCAATGGCTCCCAGAGGGATGTTCTTGAGAACAGACGACGCTGGTTGCCGACGTGCGGGCGGCCCCGCTGCTGAAGCTGGCGCCGCTGCGGCTGCCGAGGCAGCTCCAGCGGATGACCCCGCACCAGGGTGCGGGTGACCTTGGTCAGCCAGCGCATCGTCGGCTAGTTTCTGTCGGTTGTCAATTTCTTTGAGGGCTTTGCGGCGTTCTTCTTCTGAGGGAGTGCCTTCTGCGGGTGCCCCCGCTGCTGCAGCTGGCGCCGCTTCAGCGGGTGGCCCCGCAGAGCCCATGTCCTCCTTCCCTTTGGCGGCTGCCTCTGCCCGCACCGACCTCAACCCAGCCTCGGGCTTCGGTTGTGCTTTCATTCGTGCCGAGCCTGGTCGTGGTGCAAGGCGCGGCTGATGCAGAGTTGGAGTCCAGCCACCTCGGAAGGCTGCCTTAGGCTGGTCGCGATCTTCGTCCTTGACGTCGCCTTGGGCAGCCGGTGGCATCGGCGCTGATGGTCCAGCAAAAGCCTTCCTCCTCTCCGTCACGGACGGGCCGGTAGGCTCTCGCGGCTCAGGGTCGTCCTTCTTGGCGATCCCTCTGGCCTTCGCACGCCCCTGTGAACCTTCGGGGCTCTTGGAAGGAGACCTCTTCTCAGGAGAAGGTGGAGGCGAGGAGTCGACCACAGGTCCTGGAGGTGGTTCGATGTCTTCGTCGTCCTCTGGTGGTGGACCAGGAGGGTCTTTAGGAGGGCCTTCTGGCTGGCCATGATCATGGATGACCTGCCTCATCTGGTCGATGGTGGCACTACCTTTTATGGCCAGCTTGTACTTGCCATTTTCGTGGCGGTAAAGTACCCTCGTGCAAAACCACTTCTGTGCCGAGGAGCTGTAGCACCAGCAGGCGCATCCATCAGGGAATGGATTCTCTGAGCCGTCTTCCGCCGCCCATTCTTCGTTCAGTTCGGTCTGTTCAGTGCCGGCGGCGGATCCGGCAGCAGATGCAACAGCCATCCACTCTTCGTCCGCGGACCCAGCGGCTGGCGCCGCGCCCGCGGGTGGCCCCGCACCTCCGCTGGAGTCTGCGGGTGACCCCGCCTCTTCATGGAATCGGCGGTTCCACTCTTTGAGGCGATGGTCTTTAGGAAGCTGCTCCCAATTTTCCCTGACAGTGTCAGCAACCTCCTCGGTCATAGGGACGCGATCGGCTTCGGTAATGCGCTTTCCTCCTCCAGGGACCTTCTTGTTAGGATCGTGGACGGTGCCAGCGTCATCTCCATGGGACCAGTTCCAGGGGGTCTCACCGTGATGAGGGCTCCTGGAGGGGCGGTCCATTGGACAGCCGCGCATGTGACCTTTGAAAGGCTCGCATTGACATACTTGTTTCCTGTATGTCTTGCGATCGTTGATGATCTCCTGTTTCTTAGCCTTTCGGTCCCAAGCCTCTGGCATTTTAGTCTTGCCACCTTTGGTGCGTATTATGATGCCAGATTCGCCCCGTTTGCAGTGCTCCTTGGACCACCAGTGGCGGATCACGTCCATCGGGTAGCCGGGGTACCAATTGATGTACCACTCCGGCACGTACTGAGCGGATACACCTCTGGAGTGCTCCGTGCTGCACGGGTAGCCAGATGCATCATGTGTAGGGCGTCGTGGAGCTGAACGGCTCCTCCGGCGGGTTGGCCCCGCTGACGCACTGCCACGTTCCATGGGCCTTTCATCTTCATGACGGTGCTCTGGATCTCGAGGTGGCGATGGTCGTCTGTTCTTCTTTGCATTGCGCCTGTCCTCCGAGTCCTCTGAAAAAAAAAAAAAAAGAAAGAAAAAAAAAAAACAAAAAAATAAAAAAAAAAAGAAAAAAAAAAAAAAACAAAAAAAAAAAAAAAAAAAAAAAAAAAAAAAAAAAAAAAAAAAAGAAAAAAAAAAAAAAAAAAAAAAAAAAAAAAAAAAAAAAAAAAAAAAAAAAAAAAAAAAAATAAAAAAAAAAAAAAAAAAGAAAAAAAAAAAAAAAAAAAAAAAAAAAAAAAGAAAAAAAAAAAAAAAAAAAAAAAAAAAAAAAAAAAACAAAAAAAAAAAAAAAAAAAAAAAAACTGAAAAAAAAGGGTTAAAAAAGCTGTCCTGGACCATGAATACGTGCTGATGCGGGCTTTGGAAGTACCCGATGTCGGTCAGCTGCTCCATAGTGAGGTCGTTGAGGTCCATCTGGTCGCAGCCCTGCATGAACTCGTCCATCGACCAAGCGGGTAGCCCCGCTGCTGCAGCTGGCGCCGCTTCAGCGGGTGGCCCCGCTAGGGCCTGGAGTGCGGTCAGCATCTGCGGTGCCGACATATCAGGATCCAGGTATGGACGCAGCCTTGCGGCCCCTGGGCGCGACAGCAGGTCGTTCATGGTCATCTGCTGTTGTGCTGGCGCACTCAGGAGCTGGATCGCTTCTGCGACCTGCTCTTGGAGCCTGTCCTCATAGTCCTCTTCGGCCTCTTCAGAGTCAGAATAAGCTGCGGGATGGCCCCGCATTTCGTCGTCAGCGTCTCCCGCTTCCGAGCCGGCTCGCGAAAGATCAGGCAGCAACGGCATGCCGACCACCTGCGGTGCCAGCGCGGCGGCGAGCTCCTCCTCGGTCGCCGGGGCGGTCTCAGCTTCGGAGATCTCGTCGTCGGCGGGTGGCCCCGCTGGAAGACCGAACCAGGCGTTGAACGCGCCCTCGTCGACTTCGTCCCAGCCGTGGAACTCGTCGAAGAGGGTCACCGCGTACTCTTCCAAGGCTACGGTCGCATCAGCGTAGCGGGCCATCACGTAGTACGTGGAGGAGCCCGCGGCGGGAGCCGCTTCTGGATTGACGTAAAACTCGTAGTCAATGTAGTCTATGTCATCCATAAAAGAGTTTTGAGCCAAATGTACGGATCCCTTTCCTTTCCCCTTCGGGCAATGATCGCGCAAATGCTCTGTACTACCGCATGTATGACACTTCGTAGTGTTGCCAGAAGCGCCCCTAGGGTTACCCCTCCGCCCTTTTCCCTTACCAGAGGTCCGCCTGCGACCCCGACCTTTGCCTCCGATAAGAACTTCTTCAAAAACCACATCAGTTAAGGGCGTGAGGAAAGCAGTGATACCCCTACCATGCATACGGCGTCTGCGACCCCCTTTGCCACGACCCTTTCCATAGCGTTTGAAATATCGGCGTACTGCACGTCTCACTTTTCTGACCGGTTTCTCCATAATGCGCCTCCAACGGCGTTTTGATTTGCGATAAGCCATAAAAGCGGCTTCCGCTCTTTGTTGTTCAGAAAGGTGAGTGTCATCAGCTGGATAGTCATTGCCAGCAGAGACCATGCCATTGTGATCACCGTCAGATGAGGTATCTGTGTCAGTGCCAGATTCAAACGGAGAGGGTGGCTGAGACCCTTGAGCGGATGACTCCGCTTGGCCCCAGAGGGTTGTGCCCGAGGGCGGGCTTGCAGTGTAGGAGGCGCCCGGCGTGTAGTTCGACCAGGCGTTCGCCTCCGCTGCCTCTGCCGATGCCTGGCCGGTCTGCCCTAAGAGGGCAGTGGCCTCGTTGGGCATATCGGCTGAATCAGCCCAGGGACTTGGCTCGCCAGGACCAGCGGGTGACCCCGCAGTCGTGGCGTAGACGCCTGCATGTGCGTGGTGCCCTGTGAAGATGCCCGCAATGTTGCCAGGAGAGCGCTCGGCAACATGCCCGTAGTTCCTCATCCTGGTCAGCAGCCTATCATAGTCTGCTTGCGTTCTGGGCATCTGATGATTGAAGGGCTCCAGCAGGTGTTGGGCTCGTGACGCGCCAACGCCTAACGCTCTGAAAAGGATCGGCGTTAGGATCTGAAAGTTGGGGATGACAAATCCAACAGAGTTAGCCTCGTCACGGGCCATCTCGAATCGAGCTAACACTGAGTCGATTCGCTCGCCCCTTTCGACGCGAAAGTCGATAAGGGCAGTGCCAGAGTTGAGCTGGCGCTCATCTTCCAGATTTTCAAATTTGGTACTCAATAGATAAAGTATATAAGTAACTGCATCAGTTGGCTGTCCGTTGACATTTACACCATAATTGATGATCTGGGAGGGGACCTGCTTGGCGATACGACGAGCAAGGCCTTGAAGACCACGTTGTAGTGCTGCAGCTTGCTGAGGTGGCGTCATATTGCCGCTCGTCACGTTTATCCATGCATGTACTTCGCGAACGTACTCGCGAAAGGGCGTGGTACCGGCTGGGTCCCAAGAAGGGCCGGTAGTACGCGTGTCGCCCATCCCCTGCCGCATGTAGCCCACAGCACATCCCATTATCACCCATAGAATGCCGAAGATAGTTATCTTGATCCAGTGCATGTGCATCTCGGCTTCGGTGATTGGTTTAGGCTGTGGTTTGTCAGGCTCGGGCGTAGTATCCGTAAGGCGCCTGACCGGCACGGGATGCAGGTGGCCCCGCTGCGGGTAGCCCCGCAGAGTGACCACGTTCTCGATCGAGTTGCCGATTGGCATCTGGTGGAAGTCGGGAGTGAAGTAGCGCAGTGAGGTAGGAGAGAGCGTCTCGAGCTCGCGGGTCGCCCCGCAAGCCCGATCGCGGACTGGCTCCGCTCCTCGCAGAGCCGGCGCAACATGGTATTCCACCGTAGTAGTAGTCCACCAAGTTGTGCCGTGGATGATGGGTATTAGAGCGAGAGCCAGCCACACGAGAGTGTAGCCAGCTCCGCTACCAAGTCGAAAACGCACTGGTAAGCCGAGATATATGTTCCGCCTTAGGCGCTCCCATATCCCAGGCTTTGGCTCATACCGCATGAGCAAGAGAGCAAGATGAAGCATGGGATCTGGAGTAATGGATAGAAGGGGCATCTTCAATAGAAAGGTCTTTTCCGATCTCAGATGCGAGTAGTGCGCCTCGGTGAGGCACAATCACATGTTCGGCCGGGCCCGGCTTGAGCCAGGCACGGCAGCGGTGCATGCTCGATTTACATATCGCCTTTAACCCTCTCCGTTTAAAGTGCTGCATCGCAGAATCCCCTTCGAAGCCCAGTGCGTGCGTGAGCCCGCCCCCGAAGCGCCGGCACGCGCGAGTAGGTGATCAGACACGACGCAGGGCGACAACAAGGCACTTAGACGAAGGGCCAGCTTAGCCAAGAATCGCGATAGCAGCGCACAGGCCGGCCTAGAGCAGAAAGAACACGCAACCGCGGATTGGCAGGACGACAGCAGCGTTCAATGTCCATCCGCAGCTGACAAGATGTCTGGGCGACGTGGAAATAAAGGAGCACGAGGGGAGGTGCGGAGGATGGGCAGAGAGGACAAGCAGGAGTGGCAAGGCCAGGAAAAAGGGCGAGGGGGACGAGAAAAGGAAGGAGAAGGATTCCGTGGGATCGGCGCCCAAGGCTCGGGGTCGTCGTCGTCGTCGTCGTCGTCGTCGTCGTCGTCGTCGTCGTCGTCGTCGTCGTCGTCGTCGTGGTCATTGTCG